ACATAACCTAAATATACCAAAGCATTTCTACTTGGAACTAGCGCATCGCCAAAATAATGGGTCAATATTCATTTGACGTAATGCTGATCGAGAGAAGTCTTTATATATAAGCCTTATCACAATGCCACGAATGCACCCAGCTGCAGGCGTGTCTTGTTTAACATTCATTCCTATATATGATGGAACATTAATCAATAATCATGGAAGTATCACTTTTCAAATAACATCATTGTTAAATGAAAGAAAATTGTATGCAAAATTACATTTTGGTAATGGTGAGACGCAATATGTTGAAGTATATATCATTATTATTTAATATACAAACAAACTCTAGTACAAAATTGTATTAATTCAACTTTCATGTCTAATATAAAAACTTTTTTTAAAAAAAGAGATATAATCGTGTATAATATGAGAAAAATGAATATCAATACAAAATAAAATATCAATTAGCTATTGCTGATGACATATCATGAATATTGATCATTTGATTTGATTAATTTTGATAAATATTAGGCTTTTTGCTAGTTACATATTACAATAAGGCTTTTAAATGGATATTTATTGATATGAGCTTATTTCAAAATGACAGTCTTTGATTTATCCACTAATAAGATTTGATGTCACAAAAATCTAGATTTTGGGGCATAAAAACCTAACACCAAATCATAACTTCTGTGCATATACTAAATTGAGTACAGAAATATGTTAATTTTCAGTATTTTTAGAAGAATTCTTATTATCCTTCAAAAAGTCAGTATTTCTGCTGTAATTTTCTACAACATTGTAGTTATTGCACTTTGTCTATGGATTTGTATATATGTTATATATAAATTATATATCTAAACTGCCCATAAGTGCAATTTTTATATAAATTGTTTATTTCTTTAACAATTTCATATGAAATATGCTTTTTTAAGCGTATCAAAGCTGTGTTCTTAATGTGCATGGATATATCAAGAAAAATGTCGAAAAAAAATGTGAATTCACAAATTCACTGAATTTTCACCGTTTTTTGAATTTTGCTACAGCACTAATATTAAATAATACTAAAATCTTCTGTCTTTGTAAAAGAATAAATTCTGACAAAAAGTGCTCGTTTAAATTTAATGATCATCTGTATGACTAAGTGGTAAAAAGTGTTTATGACCAAAAAAGGGTTACATGCTTAGTCTATTTTTCTGACAGGATACTCTAGATTTACATGATCTCTATTTCATATCTCCGTTTTTAGATTCTTCGACAGATTTTATGATAGAAAACCAAGATTAACAAATTTCCGGCATGTTAATGAAGAAATCTGCAGCTACCCTCAATATTATTTCAATAATCAGTATCGTTTCTCTTACAATTTATTTTTTTCTCAATAATTTAACAAGAAATAACAATACACACTTGGTTTTACGTATAAAAGCTAAGTGTCGAACTTAATCAACTTTACTTACTTAGCAAATGAATATTTTTGTGGTTGCGAGTTCTGAATGCTGAAGTTTTAGATTTCTCTATAAATGATATCATTGCACTTACAATGTTGTTCCAGCCTATCGCATAAATCATAGAAAATCCAAAAAAAAAATAATATAAAGAAAATTCATGTCATGAAGTTCAAAAAATACCGTGTAACATTAAAATTTGTTATGCATAATACATTTTAGCTATTATTGATTTTTTTTAATTTTCGAGAAATTGAATGGTGAGTCCGATAGAGAAATTTTTAAAAATCCTAGTGCCTCATAGAAGTAATTTCCCTCGTCTCCCATACTTCCAAATGTATGCATATGACATAAACTTTTATGCATTACACAAGTGGCCAATAATATCTATAGAGTAAAAAATTAGAAATTTAATTTTTTTATATGATAGTTATATTTCAGATTTGCGAGCGTAACTTTTTTCTCCATGGCATACTTGTTTTAAGAGCAAATGATCAAAATCGTCCTTCAATTATTGAAGGAGCTGATATCTTTTGAAAATTGAATTGAAAGGGTATTCAATTTTCAAATTTCCTCTCAATTTTGGAAACATATCAACTCTATGAATTAACAATTATGTGCCTTCACAGTTTATCAGTCATATAAGGTGCTTATAAAGAAAAAAGTTACGCTCGCAAAATATGTTTTTATATAGATTTCACATAAAATAATTATGTAATTTCTAAAAAGAATATTTTTGTTCTTGAATATTAAAGTGTATTGTAGTTTAAAAAGTTTTAAATATGTTGCTAAAATTTTAGGTTTATAGCTCATGTCTAGCATGACTTCTTCGTATGCGCAAAAAATCTGACACGTAAGGGTATCCTTAAATTATAACAATTATTTTTGGTTTTATATTTTTTTGGATCAAATCCATTTTAATAGAATTTATATACTATTCATCTATTAGTAAACACTACCGTATATTATTTTTTAAGCTATCTTATTTTTTGAAATTTTATTCAAATCTTTGGTCGCAAGAAGAATTGCATGATAAATAAAAACATTTAATCAAAGTCAATTTTATTTTTCATATTCAAATGGACTGAGTGTTAACATTTAACATTTTTTGCTAATTGTCGTCAAAAATTAGGCGTAAAGCAAAAATTGATATTTCATATGGTTTTATGATAGATAAGCATTATATTCCCACTCATTATATTCGTAAATTTTGAGGTTTATCCTTCGCTTTTAAGATCATTGAATTTGATTTTTATATAAAATAGTTATATATTAGAAAATAATATGAGTTTATGTGATATTATTTTTCAGAAGATTTTGTGTTCTTCTTCAAAATTTTATTTTTTTATTAAAAAGAATCTTTACAAAATATACATTTACTTTAATTAATATTTAAAAACGTGCTCTATCAAAAGTTCCAAAAATTCAATATTTTAGCTTTTCTGAGGTGTCACTTTTGATGAATTTCTGTTTACAACAGGTATTAATCCGAATAAACTATAATTTAGAATATGACACTTTTTTGGAATTGGAATAACTGAGTTTATCCATATTGCCGATATAGGGTCGAAAAGTGACAATAATGGAATAATTGAATTAGAATAGGGTTTGCTAGTAAATTAGGAATTGGAATTTGGAATTTTGAATTAGAATATAATAAAATCACACATATTTTTCTTAATAATAAGATTGAATATTTACTCGCGAATATGACAAAAAATGACCATAAATTCTAGATATGTACTATATGGTTATATTACTATGATGATTTATATAAGGTATATATAAGGTGTATATAAATTAGAATGCTAATTGTTAATAATATTGTAGTGTGAAATAATTTATGAATGAAAAGTGTGAAAAAATGTCACCATAAATATGACTAATGTCAATTTATACTTAGTAATACATATATTATACACACTACTATAGTAGTATATATTACTATGTTTTGCCTATTCAGAGTTGTTATGAATTCATCTGCATCAATGAATTGGCATGCAAAAATTAACATATTCTCAATATAACTATACACATAACCCTAATATTATCAATATATCATAATTTTTCTCTGGTCTGAGACCAATCTTTCTAATCTGTGATTAAGTAAAAAAAAAGATTCACGGTTATTCTAAAAAGACAAATTAATGAGATTGCATTACAATGCATCTATTAGGAAATTTTGGTGTTAATAAATTGAATAGTTCGAGTTTAGGATTTTGACTTCGCTAAAAAAATTGACTCAAAATACACAAAAAATGAAATAATTTGAAGTTAGAGATTGAATAATATTATGCATGAGGAGCTATTAAATAAAGTTGTGTATGAGAATATTGCACTTAGATTAATAGAAATAGAATTATAATTCAATAATAATGATGCCTGACGAAAATGATAATTTTGTCACTTTTCCGGGCTAAATTGATAATAAAAAAATCGTTCAGATTTTTCTTTAACACATTATTTTCCACCAGCACACACAACCATATATCTTTTATTTATTTATATCAGCAATATATCTTACATATCTATATCTTCAACAATATTTTCTATGTTGTTGATTCCTATTCCAGAAGCATCAATTTAATTCTGATGACAAATCTATCTTTCAATTCTTAATTATTGACTAGAATTTTTGATTCGGATAAAGTAAACTTTATACGCAATTCCAAATTCAAACCGATTCCTGATTCATGATTAATTCCATTATTGTCACTTTTCGACCCTATATCGGCAATATGGATAAACTCAGTTATTCCAATTCCAAAAAAGTGTCATATTCTAAATTATAGTTTATTCGGATTAATACCTACTGTTAATAATTAAAAAGTTGATTTTCTAAAACCCCATTTTATTTTAGTTGACAATTAAGTCGAATAGAGCGAATTGTTGTTTTCCTATTAGATCTATTCCAAAATTCGGAATGGTCATTCGAAATTGGCTAATCAAAACATATGATTAGCAGGCACTCCATTGAGCAATTTCATTCAATCTTTAAAGAATGCTTTGTTCATTGTACACGATCTCTTCAATGAGCTTAGAAGATATCAATCTTGTTTTTTAATCACATTCTTACTCAAAACAACTGGCTAATTGAACTACTCATATTATTTATGTCTATAGGCCTAATGATATTGCTTTTCTTTGAGATTATTTTTTTTTTTAATTATTTTCAAAGTTGCGATTTAATTTTAGTTTCATTAAATAATATATCTGTATGTAATTCTAATTCTGTAACAAAATCACATATAAAATGAATTTTTTTTTGAAATGAAATAATGGGTGTTAGATTTTATTGATGAATGTTTTACTATAGTATTACAAATATTCGCTCAAAATTTGAATTGTCTCAAAAAATTTGAAAGGCTTCATTATTAAGGAAATACCAAATTTGGAAGAAATTTAGATGTATAATAAAATTATTCTTGTCGTAATAAAAATCCGGTTACATTACATTCAATTCAACATATTCAAAATTAAACATTAATTATTATACTCTACTATCTGATATTTCATCATTTTTATTCAAGAGCTTAATTTTTTTTTCAAAGCTCATATTTTTGAAAAATGTCAGTGGATGGGAAAGATTCAAATATAGAACATGAGTTTTCAAACAGAAACAATCAAATTATTGAAAGTAATAAATCAGATCATTGCATTGTTACGAGTAACGATCAAATCTTTGATATTTTATACGAAAACCAAATTTCTAAAACAGAACCATTATTTCCCATACCATCTCCCTCATTGTTTCAAGAATATCGACAATATAAGTATGCTGTTTTATCATGGAAAAAGTATTCTTTTATGATCACATCGAAATATATCCTCCTCCATCCCACAGAGGCATTTCTACACAGACCATTAACCAAGCGAGATGGAAAATTAAAAATTATTACAGGAGAACAAGAAATTGCTTTCCAAGAATTTTTTCTCACGGCATCACCAAAGCAAAAAGACTTAGACATACCATATATCGATAAATTAGTAATAAATCGCCGTTTAAAACAAATAAGTTTATTAAAAAGAGAAATTACTAACATTTCACAAGTTCCAATCCCAAATTTCTATTCAAACTACATAGATTTTGAATCTGCATCATTAAAATGGTATAGTCTCCATTCAAATATCAACTTTATTAGTCCAGATCCAGAATTTGACCAAATCCCAAAAAGAGATCTATCCCAAGACAAAACATTCTCCTACAAACAACAAGAAATGCATACAGATGCAAAACAATATAAAGAAATCACTCTTTCGAAAAAAGCAACTACAAATCTGAATTTGTTGAAACAAGCGACTCCAGAGTTCATGTACATATACTCAATCATCAAACAACCATTTGACAAAGAATTTGTCTCAAATCCAATAAAATTTTCAAAAAATTCGTTTTTTTTCCAACTTTCGCCATTTGATGTCATTTCGCAGCTAGAAACTGAAGGGTTATTGAAGGATGATATTACTCTACCGAACAACATCCAATTCCTCGCGAAATCAGTTTATTCCGCGTATTCCTACTTTAATTTCCCTCAGCCATCCACAGTTGACAGGCTGATGTTCAACATCAACAACGTCATGGTTTCAGGGAACGCCGAATTCCACTTCCAGACGTTCACAGCCCTTCAAAACCTCGCTGGAACAAAATTTCCAGAAATTACAGCAAAACTGCTCCAAAACATCGATTATCTGTACAACACTGCTTACGTTGTAACCGAATTTTCCCATTCAATCACCGACCACTTCCTTCCTGAGCTGGAATTCTTGAAATTAACAGAAATTCCTTCGTTTTTGCTGGATATTTACAAAGTTTCATGCATATACGTGATGTATTCAGTCATTTCCCAGCATTTGAACCTTGTCATTGCGAAAGAAGAATTTAATTTGCAGATAAATAAAAAATCTGGGGAACTTCGTCAGAATATACTGAGAATCATTCAGAACAATATCATAGAGATATCCAATCTCAATGCTGATGTTCTTAATCAATCCAATTCTGACTTTTTTTGCTCTTTGTTTTCAATTATGATGAGGGTATTTAACAACTCATCAAACCACTTCCTTATTTGCATGGTTCCACATGGAATACATTTCTTCTACAAACTGACTGTTTTATCTCCGAAATCTTTCAAAAAATTAATTCTTCCTTTCCTTGACTTCAAAGAGATCAACAAATGCCTCTTCACCGTGATCAATGAGTGTATCCTCGGTCCGAAATTCAAGTTCCTTCAGAGCAACAAACTTTTCGATCTTTTCATGTCCAAAATTTTGAATTATGACCGCCAGAAATCATCTTCCTTCAACTTTATTGGTGTTTTCATCTCCTACTGCATCCAAATTGACAGTCCGAGTCTTGGAAAGTTGCAGTATTTGATGATCAGGTTCTTAGTTGACGGAATCGAGAACAAAAACGCGCTATCCGTTTATGAGTCATGTTGCAACCTTCTACAGGTCGAGTTGATCTACTGCACGACTAACAAGTACATAATTGACGCGATGAGCTGTCTGATTTCAGTCAAAGACCACAACCACTGCATCCAGCTGAACCTGAAGTCCATACAGTTCATCATCTCTCTGATGGACTTCGAGCAGCTGCCGGTGGAGGTTTGCCACTCCGCGTACAAACTCTTCACGAAGCTGCTGATCTACAAGCCGAAGTACTTCATCGAGGAGTTCCAGAACGAGGAACTGGCCATGGTCATCGGATCAGTGTTCAAGACGGATTCGGCGCTCTCCAACAGGGAGATAGTGGCCCTGCTGTACCACTTGATAAAGAGAGACAACAACAACTTCATAAAGACGTTCTTGGACGTGTTCAAGAAGGAGGAAATAAGTCTAAAGGCAATTTTCGCATCGGCAATTTCCGGTTTGACAATGAAAGAGAAACAGAGAATGAAACGTAAGATATCCGCCATAAATAGATATAGATCACAGCACAAAAAGAATAGAAGTAAGTTTAGTAAATAAATTGTTTGTTTTTTTTTTTATATATTTTATTGATTTGTGTTCTTCTATATTCATCTCATCGAATCAAATATTTTTCAAAAAAAAAGGAATTTCACAAAACTTCGCATTTATCTATTATTTTCCGAGAACAATGGCTTTCAGACAGATCCGATATATAGTGGTACTTATGCGTATTGTATTGGTACAGAAAGAACATGGTAGAACACTTCCTCTAATCAAGAAACACAAATTTTTGAAAATAAAAAATTTTAGATGTACGCCCGTAATCTCGGTGAATTACAGGCGCGCAGCGCTTTTAAAAATTTATTTATTCATATTACAAACAACATTACGAGTTCTCTGATCCTTTGACATCATTACCCTTTTATAAGCAGAAATTCCGTCAATATTCTTTTTTTCTAAGTCAGCATTCTTAGAAATCAGCATCTTCAAGAAAGAAAATCTTGAAGAGCTCGCTGCTTCGTATGCGACGGACCTCCCGTCATCATCAACCGCATTCACGTCAAATCCCTTTTCAGCGAGGAATTCTCCAATCAGATAGTCTCCGAAACGGCCGCAAAAATGCAGATTAGATCTTCTGTATTCGTCCTCTTCTTTCGACTCTTTCTTCCCGAGGAACAAGGAGAAGAGAATCAGCCTGTAGTTGAGAGAATGAACTGCATCGTTTATTGTCCAACCAAAACCTTTTTCGATCATTTCTTCAATCAATTCGTTCCTTTGGTATTTTATACAGAATTTCATATATTTTTCTTCGGAAAAATCATAGTGTTGCTTGCAGTACTTAATAATTTCCTTATTTCCGCCACTGTATGCACTTTCTACAACATTATTTGTGATCTTTTGATGCTTAGAGCAAAGTATGAAAAAATTATAATTCGAATACAGGGCAGAAAGCGAAATTTCATTTGTAAACTGATATGATCCAGATTCTACAAGTTTGGTGAATGATTTGATATCATTGGCTTCAAGTAATTCTTGGAAAATTTTTTTATTTTCATAAATTAAAAATTCTTTGTATTTTTCGAAATTATTTTCAGTCATTTCTTTGAGTAAATTTCCTTTTCTGTCTGTAAGACCATCAATTGGCCGCTTTAGTCTAGTCAGATTAAATTCTGGAATGAAATACTGATCTAATCCTCTTCTTATGCTATCAAACATCATTATTTGATCTATTGAATATTTGCCATTATCATATAATACTCTGATTGCTTTCAATGGCAAATAATAAAGTGAATAGTCAACAAATTCAGTTCCAAATTGAATAAATAACTGTTGAATCAATTTTACATATGATTTAAAATACTCAGGCCTAATATCAATCGCATTAGAAATATGTATCAATATAATTTCTCTGTATTTTTCTTTAATTTCTTTACATTTCTGAAATAATTCATCGATATTTAAGCAGTTTGAGTTTAGTAGGCTTTCTTGAAAAGAAATAAATTGCAAAATGTCAGGATTACAATCTTGCTCAGTAATTTTCCATTCAAGAAATTTCATGCATTAATTTCAGCGATTATTTTTCATTGAATTGAGTCTCCAAAATCATGTTCATAATGGACACATTTGAAATTATAGCATCTCCTCATCTACATGTTTAAGATGTTCTCAGCACAATTTCGAATGCCAGTAATTTAATTTGTGAAATTTATTTTATAGTATTTCTTCTTTCAAGGATTCTATAGATTTCTCTTATATAAATTTATAAATGATATCTTGCTCAGTTTTAATGATTTTTCTATGCTTATAAAATGATTATTTTTTTAGAACATAACAATATAAATTATTAAAAACTTGTAGTATATTTCAAACAAGCTTTTATTTGTAAACAATTTATACTTAATATTTTCGAAACAATAATATTTTTCAAATAAGTATTAATTTGAAATTAACATCAATGTTAACAATGGTAATAATTATTTATCATCATCGGAAACTTCGACTTCGTTTAACAATTGCTTTATCATTTCTTGATCAACTGAAGAAGATGAATCATCGTCATCATCGTTGATAGGATATTTAGGTTTCTGAGGTTGATCTAATAGTGATTGTTCAGATTCTGTCTTTTTCTGGAAAGGTGAGTCGAAAATTGATTTATTATGTGCCGCTGCAACAGGAATAACTGGGTCTGGATATTCAGCTTCTGCTTTTTGATCCGCTTGAACAACTGGGGGATCAGAAGAGCAGCAACAACCCATCGAATTTGTCACTTTTTAATCATTTATCGGCTGTCTCACTTTTGTGTACAAAATGCAAAAACCTATGAATTTTCCTATTTTAATTTGATATTCATAATATATAAGTATTTGTAATGCATATTCTATCTTCTAATTAGTAAAATTACATTGCCCGCCAAAATCAAAAATTTTCTATTGAAAAAATAGCGCCAAGTCCAAAAGTGTCATTTTCTCATTGAAGACCGCAGCTGGAGTCAATGCCGATTATCCACTTGCTGGGATGCTACACAGCCTTTGATCTGGCCAATCATAGTGCTGTTCCATCCACATCAGCAAGTGATTTCGGCATCAGATCTCCACTTGGTCTTCCATGAGAGTTCTGCAAGCCAGGAGTGCAATATCTATACAGCCTTGCTGCTAGGATATAGTAGCCAGGCTGCGTAGATATTGCGCTCCTATGGATATTAGTTATACGTTATTATCCGCATGGGCTCATGCTGCCATCCTCTGGTTCCCGAAGGGCCAAGGATTATGTAATTACTCGAATTGGGCAAGGTTCTTCCGAGATCTCTCATTCAAGGAGATATCTCGGAAGAATTTTGCCCTAAAGTACTCTAATTACTGTTCCCTAGTTTCTAAAGAGCTAGAATTTTGTAATTAATCGAATAAGGCAGGATTTTTCCGAAGTCTCTCATTTGATGAGAGGCCTCGGGAAAATCCTGCCTTAAGGTAATATACTTGTAGTCTTTGGTCTTTTATAGGCCAAAGACTGTAAAATTGCTTGAATAGAGCAATGTTCTTCCGAGGCCTCTCAATCGAATGAGAGACTTGGGAAGAACATTGCACTAATGTAAAGTATGTGTGGTACTTGGCCAGCAAGGAGCGAGAGAACTTGTCTGTAATTCGTTTATGCTGAAGTTTTCTGAAGTTTTTTCAAATTAGGAAAAAAATTCAGAAAACTTCAGCATAAGTTAATGCTGTTGTGGTTCTCTAGCTCTTTGCCGGCCAGAGATCGAATAAAAAGTTTATTGGGTGAGTAGGCTCGATCCATGCCTACCCACTACAAATATACGTTATTTTTTTTATTTGCTATGAGGAAATAGTTTTTCATTTTTATAATACTATATGTTTTACTACTTCATAAATTGTTTATTTTCTTATTAAAACCTAATTTTTCCGTGTGATTCGGAATCTATGCATTCCAAAAATGCGTTTTCCGCTCTCAGAACGTGAAAATATGCACTACATGAGGAGATAAAGAGATTTCTTATGTTTCTATTTTTTCGAATTTTTCAATCTTGATCAAAACTCGAAAATAAGCAGATATTCTAATAGAGTACATAAAATAACATACATCTGTAATATTGGAATTTTCGAAAAATCTCCAAAAAAATAACGGTTCGAAAATTCGAAAAAATAGAAACATAAGAAATCTCTTTATCTCCTCATGTAGTGCATATTTTCACGTTCTGAGAGCGGAAAACGCATTTTTGGAATGCATAGATTCCGAATCACACGGAAAAATTAGGTTTTAATAAGAAAATAAACAATTTATGAAGTAGTAAAACATATAGTATTATAAAAATGAAAAACTATTTCCTCATAGCAAATAAAAAAAATAACGTATATTTGTAGTGGGTAGGCATGGATCGAGCCTACTCACCCAATAAACTTTTTATTCGATCTCTGGCCGGCAAAGAGCTAGAGAACCACAACAGCATTAACTTATGCTGAAGTTTTCTGAATTTTTTTCCTAATTTGAAAAAACTTCAGAAAACTTCAGCATAAACGAATTACAGACAAGTTCTCTCGCTCCTTGCTGGCCAAGTACCACACATACTTTACATTAGTGCAATGTTCTTCCCAAGTCTCTCATTCGATTGAGAGGCCTCGGAAGAACATTGCTCTATTCAAGCAATTTTACAGTCTTTGGCCTATAAAAGACCAAAGACTACAAGTATATTACCTTAAGGCAGGATTTTCCCGAGGCCTCTCATCAAATGAGAGACTTCGGAAAAATCCTGCCTTATTCGATTAATTACAAAATTCCTAGCTCTTTAGAAACTAGGGAACAGTAATTAGAGTACTTTAGGGCAAAATTCTTCCGAGATATCTCCTTGAATGAGAGATCTCGGAAGAACCTTGCCCAATTCGAGTAATTACATAATCCTTGGCCCTTCGGGAACCAGAGGATGGCAGCATGAGCCCATGCGGATAATAACGTATAACTAATATCCATAGGAGCGCAATATCTACGCAGCCTGGCTACTATATCCTAGCAGCAAGGCTGTATAGATATTGCACTCCTGGCTTGCAGAACTCTCATGGAAGACCAAGTGGAGATCTGATGCCGAAATCACTTGCTGATGTGGATGGAACAGCACTATGATTGGCCAGATCAAAGGCTGTGTAGCATCCCAGCAAGTGGATAATCGGCATTGACTCCAGCTGCGGTCTTCAATGAGAAAATGACACTTTTGGACTTGGCGCTATTTTTTCAATAGAAAATTTTTGATTTTGGCGGGCAATGTAATTTTACTAATTAGAAGATAGAATATGCATTACAAATACTTATATATTATGAATATCAAATTAAAATAGGAAAATTCATAGGTTTTTGCATTTTGTACACAAAAGTGAGATACTGCATTTATCTGATTTAGTTTTCTTCTCTTTTTATTATATGATTAACAACTTTCTATCTTTCACCAATGAATCAAAACTTATTCTAGCATTAGACACTTAGATATTACAAGATAAACTTAAAAATTTCCTAAAATCAAAATCAATTTTCTTAGGGTACATTAAAATATACATTGCAACATCCGCTCGCATTCCATAGAAATAGAATACTAAAAGATATTTTCATATTATTTGTATTCGTTCAATGAAATAGTCTAATTTCATGGACTAACAATTGAATACTCAAAGGAAATGACCTTTGATTGTATATTAACAGTTAAGGAATTATTTCTTTTATCTGAAATTTAACAGTATTTTGAATTTAAAGATATATTTTTAAAATCAAATTATTAAATGAATTAAAAATAGATAACTGAGCGTATTATGCTAGATATGTTGCAACCATACATATTTTTTTGAAGTCTATCCAGATTTCAAATTTGATTTTTCTGAATTGTGTGCATAACTTACTTTTTGTGATGCAATATGTTTCTCTATAAAAATATAATGATAGTGTAAACATTCTTTAATAAAAAACGAAATCAAAAATTTACATAACGCAAAAAAAATTTTTTTATATCTGAATAAATTTTAATTTTTAGAAATGTCGTCATCATTACAGCAGTGGGTCTTTTATGATCCACTAAAACACAATGATGACCCAGGAGATTTCACATTTATTATCAATTCATATAACTCTCGCGAGTTTTACATGATTTCCATTACATCTTCTGTGATTTCTAAGAAAAGTCAGAAACTTGCGACTGCATTAGCAAATAAGACATCCAAAAATTCACTTATTACTTCCAAAAACCCCTATGAAGTTTACTGTATCTTACGATTTACAAATGATCAATCATTTTCAATACAAACTAACAGATTTAGACATCTCAGACAAGAATCGGTACAGTTCGATATTAAATTACCAGAAGAAAGCGAATTTGAAATAATTCATACAGATTTGAACCAATTTATGAAAACATTGCTAACAGCACACAAAGAACGAAAGAATTATTATGTGTTTCAACAATTCTTCCTTGCAAACTATCAACAAATACAACAATTACCTTCCTTTTCCAAAATCCCCAAGAATTTAATTGTAGATTTGCTCCTTTACAAGGATCACCTGTCCATTCAAGAGTCAATGAGTAAAGATAGCTGTATTTCAATTGTTGAATATCTCGAACAAAATATCAGAAAGAAAGATCTCAGCAGCTCTCCAAAACATGATAGATCCATTTCAGAGTTGCAAGCAATCATTGATTTACGCAACAAAGAAATAAATGAGCTCAGAATTCAACTTGATGATCAGAATAAAAACGGAAAACCAGATAAAGAGAAAGAAATTCTCTTGTCTCAACTTACAGAACTAAATACAAAACTTCAAAAAGCAGAGCAAGAATACAATTCAAAACTTAACAACTTATTAATCGAAAACAATACAAACAAGTCTAATCTATCACAGTTAGAGCTTAAGAATACCCAGTTAAATAACGAAAACAGTCAATTGAAGAAAGATTTAAGTGAATTTTCAAAAACATTGACATCTAAAGAATTAGAGGCATCAAACCTTCGCGATCAACTTAAGAAAGTATCCGAATCGAATACAAACAGAGAAGATTCAAAACAAATAATTTCTCAATTACAAGACCAAGCTGAGCAGCTCAGAAACATCATCAAAGCCAAAGAAGACGAGAACAAGAAGCTAGAAACCAAGAATCAGAGAGCTGCTCTGAAGTATTCCGAAGCAATTTCGAAATTAACAAAGTCATCTGACGACCAAATCACAAAAATCGATCAAGAGAACATGAAATTGCAAGCCCAGCTCCAACTCTACCAGCAAGAACTCTCAAAAGTCAATGCTTCTAAGTCCGAAATTTCGGATCTCAAAGAAAAACTAAAAGAAAGGGAGAAAACAATTAAAGAGCTCTCCAGCAAACTCAACGATATCACCACCCAAAGTGAAGCAAACATGGAGTTCGAGCGCCAGAAGGACAGACAGATCCAGAACCTGCATTCAGAAGTAGCAAAATTGTTGGTCGAACAACAAAAAAGTGAAGTGATAAAAATAGAAGCGGAGAAGAACCGGAAACTCGTCAAAGCACTGAAGAAAGAGAAGGTAGAGCTGGACAAGAAGTCTCAGGAAGTCATCGCTAAGCTGCAGCAGAAAATAAACATACTCACAAACAATTACGAGCTGATTTCGCTCGAAAAAATCAAAATGGAGCAGACAATGTCATCAAACCTGCTCTCAGTAAGAAAGGAGTCGTCAGATACAAATACATATTTATCTGAAAAAGTAACTCAACTCTCAAATTCTCTGCAAGAACTCAAAAAACAAAATAAATCCTTAAAAAGAAAATTGAATGGTTTACAAAACGATTATAATGAATTGAAATCAAATCAAGTTGAAATAGAAGAATTGGAAAATGAAAACAAAGACCGAAAGAAGAAATTGAGAAGCTATCAAAATAATTTGACACCAGTGAAATCTCCAAAAATAGAAGATGAAAATAAAGAACTGAAAAAGAAATTGAGAGGTTTACAAAATGATTATAATCTTTTGAAAGACCAAATTACCGAAAATGACGAAGAAAACAAGCAGAAGATGATCAGACGTCTGACAAAGAAACTCGGCCAGTCCGAAAAACAGTTTGAAGATGTTTCCAAGGAAAGAGAAGTTCTTTTGGCCAGAATCGAAGATCTCTCAGAAGAAAACGAAAAGCTGCGGAACCGATCAAACGAAGGAGACGCTGAAATTGTCAAGACGCAGGCTGATCTGATCTCCAAGCTACAACAGCAGATACAGAGCCTCTCAAACAACCCTCTCGACTTCTCCGCGAAGGACCAGTACATCAACTCCCTCCACCAGGAAATTGACGAACTAAAACAGAGGCTAAACGAAAATGCTGCAAAAGTGGTCACTCCACAAGACCGCAATGCAGTTCCAGAGAAAGAGAAAACAATCATTGACATGATAAACGAAGATAGCGATGGATATTCCGAGGAGGAAGAAGCAGAAGATTCAGGAAGCGAAGCAGCAACAAAAGATTTGGTTCCATCCAGGCAGAGAATGATCAGATTGTCTTACGACGAACCAAACACAGAAAATGCTGAAATAACAAGTCTAAAGGTCATGTTGGAAGAGAAAACAAACGAAGTAAACGACCTAAAGAAGCAAATTAATGAGGCAAATGATAAAAATTTGGAAGAGAAATTGAATGAAAAAGTGACAGATTTAAAGTCCACACTTTCACTCAAAGACGACATCATCCAGCGCCAAAATGACGAAATAAACGAACTCAAGACGCACATCGACAGTCTCAAGTCGAAAATAGAGAATTTAATTGCGACAAACAACATAAATCAGAAAGAGACAGAAAACAAAGAATACGACTACTCAGAAACAGAGCAAAACAACGAAGATAAAAATGATATCGACAAAATGTTTGAGAAGAAGATTTCCAACGCTGAAAACCAAGAACTGGAAGAGCTGAAAGCAGAGAATGATAATTTGAAGATAGAAATCATTCCATTGAAATCAAAAGTTGAGTCAAACGAAAATGAATTCATTTATAAGAATGATGAAGAAGAAGAAGTCAAAGAAAACGCTGACAAACAAGAAATCCAAAATCTTAGAGAAGAAGTTGCAAAGTTAAACGATATCTTGTCAAGAAAGCCATCAGATGAATACATTGAGAATCAGCTGAACACAATTAACTCACAGAAACAGCTGATTGACAGGCTCCAGACCAAAGTGGCAAAACTGAAAAATTCTGCAAATTATTCTGAATCTGATGATGAAAGTAAAACTCAAACAAAGAGTGAAAGAAACGAAAATCCTGAAGAACTCAAGACAGAAGTTGAGTTACTCAGGCTCCAGTTGTCAAAGCTGCCAACAGAAGATGATATGAAAAAGCTGAAAGAGACAATTCAGGAAAAAGATGACAAAATTTCTGAATTGCAAAATCACATCACAAACCTGAAATCAAAAATAGAGAACTACGTCCAAATGGCGAACAACAGCAACAAAGATAACGACGACAAAGAGAACGACTACCAGTACGAGGAATACGACGATGACGAAGAAGTCAAAGTGGAAGGAAATGTTAAATCTCGCGATGTAGTTATTCTCGGAAATGACGAGGAAGAAGAAATAAAAGTTGTTGAAGGAAAAAGTGAATTGGAAGATGAAAATGAAAATCTCAAGAAACAAATAGACGATCTAAAGAATCAGTTGCGAAATCTGCAGAAGGAATCTGATAATTCGACTTCTTCTGATTCAGAATCTGATGAAAAACAAAATCAAAAAGAAAAAGATACAGAAGAGAAATTGTCTCAGAAGGAAGAAGAAAATCAGCTCCTCAAAGCTAAAATTTCAGAATTGGAAGAAAAAGAAAATCAACTCAAGATCACTTTGCAAAATAAACATTCTGAAGAAGATCTAGAAAATATTAAAAACGAAGTGCAAAAACTCAATCAAGAAAATGAAATTTTGAAGTCAAAAATCGATGACCAACAGAAGATTATCATTGAGTTGTCAAACACGGCACAAAATGAGCAAGAATTAAATGATTTGAAGTCAGAAAACAATAAAAATCAACTTTTGATCACTTCACTTCAACAAGAAATCGAAAATCTCAAAGCTAAAAATGAGAAATCCTCTTCTTCTTCATCTTCTGACGACGAAAAAGAAAATAAAGACGAAGAAATAGAAATCCTGAAGAAAGAAATTGAAACTCTTAATGGAACTATTTCTGAAAAACAGAATTTCGAAACATTGATTTCAGAAAAAGATTCGGAAATAGAAAGCCTGAAAAAGGAAATTCAAAGCATTGAAACAGAAAGAAACAACAATTTGTCTGGAAAAGAACAAGAAATAGAGAACTTGAAGAAAGAGATCGAAACTATGAAATCAGACAAAAGCGATTCAGAAAGTGAGGAAAAACTCAAATTAGAGGATCAGATTAAGCAGAAGGACGAAGAGATTGGACGTCTTCAGAAGGAACTCTCAGAAAAACCGTCAAATGAAGAGATTTCGGAGCAAATCCAAACAATTTTGAAGCAAGGCGAGGAAAATTCGAAACTGCAAAGCCAACTTTTGTCAATGACTTCGATGGTAAATGAAATCAAAGCTCAGCTGGAACAAAAAGAAAATTTGGTCATTTCAATGGAAACTGAAATTCAAAACCTTAAATCCAAAAGTGACAACGATCAATTGTCACTTTTAGAAAATGAGAATCTGAAAAAGCAAAATGAGGAATTTTCCAAACAAATCAGTCTTAAAGATGAAGAAATACAGACACTAAGAAACGAAATAGAAAAAATAAACAAAGAAAAAGATGAAATTCTCAAAAATCAAATTCAAGAATCTGAGAAAAGTGACAAAAGTGAAGCCAATTCAGATCTTGAGAAAGAAAATGCCGAACTCAAACGGAAATTGTCTGAATACTCAACTCAGGAAGAGATGAACGACCAGATACAGACAATTCTTTCTCAGTCTGAAGAAATTGACAAAATGAAGAAACAAATTTTGGCTTTGACAACTAAAATCAACGAAGAAAACCAAGCCAAACAAAGTGACGAAGAGACAGAGAGCCTGAAGAAAGAAAACCAGACGCTGAAGGAAGAGCTGGCGAAGAAGCCAAGCGACGAAGAACTCAATGACCAGATCCAGACCATTATGACTCAGTCGGAAGAATTGGATAAGCTGAGAAAACAAATTGTAAAATTGACTGCAATGGTTAATTCAGCACCAAAAATGAGCCCTGATGATGAGAATAAGAAGATTTATGATGAAAAAGATGAGGAGAAACAAAAATCTTCTTCATCATCTTCGTCATCAGACAAAGAAGATGAAAAAGAAAATGTAGATGAAATTAAAAAAGATGATGAAAATGATAATGAAATAGAAAAAGAAGTTGAAAAAGAAAATCAAGATGAAAAAGATGAAAATTATGAATATATGTATGAAGAAGAAGTTGTTTATGAATATGAATAAAGTTTTTTATATTTTTATGAATTAAGTTTATCATGGTAAAGAGATAAAAAGTAACAGCAAACACAAGCTGCAGTTACAACTAAAATGGCTGAAACTGCAATCGCTGCGGCATTAAATTATTTCTGATTTATATTATCGATTTCTTTGAATGCAGATGAATTTCATGATTTCATGGCTATTATTTGGAAAATTTAACAAGTAATCGCACTAGATAATAGATAGAAGTCAGGAATAACATAGAAAATATTGATTCCAGCAAAAATTAACGTCTTTGTTGGCACTTTTAATGAATCAAGGAGAAATTATTTCATCACTTACACGGAAAATCCAAGATAAAATAAGAGCACTGGGCCCTACAAATATATCTCGATGGAATTCATTCTGTGGCTTTGATGAAATGACTCAGTCACAATTTGCACAAAGATCTACCTCATTAGGCGTCAGAGTTAACAAAGAAGATATTCAAGCAATATGGAAAGAATGCGGTATAAAAGAAAATATTATTGATTTTAAATCATTTGTTCGGTTTATTTCTTTAAATAGAACAACTATTTTCAATTTACCTGAGAACACAGAAAGAACACGGCAAAGGTTGATTCAAAAATTCCTACAATATGACTCTAGAGCTACTGGATTCGTTTCAATTGAGCAATTTGATGACATTGCACACGATTTTTCAATAATGTATGAAAATTGCGATAAATATGATACTAATCATGATGGAAGATTCAATTATTTCCAATTCATGTCAGATATTAATAGCCAAAATCAACCTCAATCGCAAAAACTTCCAGAAAAGCCTACTTCTACTGAAAAGAAGGAAGAAACAGCTAAAATTGAAACCGAGACAAAGCAAACTCTTGTCCCTCCTAAGCATGTTGCAGATATTCCTTCTGTCAACGAAACTCAATCTCGATTACCTGCTTATTTTGTTCCTTCTATTGCAAAATTATCAAGTCCCGTTGTTGATAAAATTCCTGAAGAAATAAATGTCAAAGATACAGTTCTTTCTCCCGAAGAAATCTATGATGGGCAGACTGCAGTAATAAACCTTTCAAAGCTTGCTGTTTCTTACAAGAACAATCTCTCTGAATTATGCAATGATGTTCAATTCGGCGATAGAATAACAATTGCTAATTTATGTCGTTTACTTCGAACAAATTTCACTGATTCTCAAATTTTATACATTACGGAAGAATACGGTGATCCAATGTCTCGCTCATCGCTTTTCAGACTTGTTGCTGATGGGGATAAGTTCGAAAAAGCAAGGCAATTGAAAGGCCAAAAACCATTTGATCTGCAAGAGTCTGAGATAGAGGCTGTTTTGAAGTGGCTTAGAGATAACTCTAATGGATGGAATTATAAGGAATTAATTAGAGCCAAATCTGCCGAAGAAGCTTCTTTGATGTTGGCAATGAAATCTATATTCATTACAGCAGATGATCTGAGACCAGCTTATAACAAGTACAGAAGAGCTTTGCCTGATGTGATATTCAGACATGGCCAAAATCAGAATTGATTTTTAAATTTAATTTTTGTTTTTGTTTGTTAAAGAAGTATTATGTTATGTTAAGACTGATTTATATATTGTTTCAATAAAAAAACTTTAATATAAAATTTGTGAAAATAATCTAAATTATTTTAAAAATAAGATATTTATACTTATAAACAATATTCATGAGTAATAAAAATAGCTCAATTTGCCCTTGTAAAGAGAGGCTGGTTTAACATCTCTGGAGATGTTGAAGCAAGAGTAACTGTCTGACCAAATTTCCTTAAGCAACCAACAAGTTTCTTCTTGCAATCAATGGGAGACATCTTTGGATTTGAATTCAGGATTTTCATTAAATTATATGTAAACAGACCTTGTTCCTTACGATCTATGTACATCTGTTTAGCTGTCTGTCTATCATTCGTTGCAGCAACAGAAAGAATATTTGATGGAAGTGGTTTTCCATGAACTTGTCCATTCTGAATATCCCAGATTGAACCACCATGGCAGCAATCTGACATAAGAACAATTCTGCTACTTGTGTTTTTGTTGGCAGATATCTCTTCAACAAGCTGATCATCAATAACATTTCCATCAACAAAGCCCATTGCTTCATCCATTCCATCATCTTCATCTCCATTAAGATCTGGGACATTATTTCCATGTCCAACATAGTAAATAACAAGTTCTTGCTGGGTATTCTTCAAGAAATAATCCAATTTTGCAATGAAATTTCTTCTTTTTGGATTTATTACATAGAATACTGTGTATCCAAATTGCTTCAATAGCTTTGCAATGTTGAACCCATCATTTAATGGTCCATCACCTAATGAAATAGATGTTCCAATATAGTTGTTGATAATTATGAAAGCAATTTTCTTCATTACTTTGGGGAGAACTGAGGGATTCAAGCCTGTAATCTCATGGCCAACTGTTTTCAACTGTCTTATAGCGCTCATCAGTAATAATGAAGTCACACAGAATTGAATGAAGTATCAATATTTTCAGAAGAGCATAAAATTTTAATTGACTTCAACATTCAATTTTGATAAATTTACAATAACTGCAATCATATTTTTTCTTGGTAAAATAACTCAAATATGTATTTTAAGTTTAATCAATTTTATCGAAATTTTTATAAGTTTTATGATTGTGATTGAAAATATGAAAATATCTTTACCAACATTAATGTAAACATTTGTTTATAAACTGAAGTTTTATGAAATTTTTGACCAAAAATTTAACGCCTGTCTGTATTTTTGAAGTAAAAATGGTCCATATATAATATAAAAAGAATATGTTTTCCTAATAATTTTCAGTTGATTTTGGAAAATCATGATAAATTTTATGAATTTTAAAATTTTTGCCGCTAAATTCAACTCTAAGGAATATTATCTTACACCCATTGAAACAACATAATATATAAGCAAGAAAATATAATATAGAAAGGAAAAAATCACCGGAAATCCATATTTTCGTAAAATCTAATGAATATAATTAGCATCACTAGGATCATGGGTATGGAAAAATTACAGCATCCGGTATAAATATCTGCCCTAAGAATTATTAAATATAAGGTTCGTTTCTCAATATCAGACATACATATGTTTTAGTTATATAAAGATTTTGAATTTTTACTTAAGATGTAACTAAATCATACAAATGGCTAATAATAAAAGGACGAACCAAAATGAAAAAAAAAATCATCAGATTTGTTCTGCAGATACATGCACCAAGGGCCGTAATTCGTGCATATCCATGGCCTTTGCTTGTAGATCCGTCTGGTTCTGGAATGTTTTCGTTTCCTGGAACTGTTTCTGCTTCTTCTAGATAGAAAGATGGGCTCAGAAGGCATCCTTGTATTGATTAACTTTTATTGATGATATTATAATAAAAAAAAGTTATTTAAGGGTGCACTTACCACTTTTTGACATTCTCTCAAATTTTCTGACAAAAGAGGTTCAAATCGTTGTTATCATAAAGATCCGATATAATAGTATGACCTATTATTGAATGTTCATATAAAAAATAAATCTGAAAAGAAAAAATCTGCTTATATTGGGGTGAAATCTATTTCACAAATTAGAGCGTGTCAAATAATTGAGAGAATGTCAGAAAGTGGTAAGTGCACCCTTAAAACATCTAAAAAATTTTTTAAGACACAGCAAGAACATACACATGACTGATGATGAATGGCCGGACCATTATGTACAAGTTGATTGGCTCTGTCCTGCATTTCAAGTTCGAGAACAGAGAGAACTCGCAGACGTCGATTTTCGTGATCGGCAGGCCGCAGAATGAGTCGTACGTGTAGAAGAATGGCACGCTTACGTTCTGCAGGTTTGGCGTGTCCGAAACGACTGAGCTGTCCGACTGCACGACGCCGCTGCAGTAGGAGAGGCGGCGGAGTTTGGCGCAGTGAGAGAGGCACTCCCTGCCGAGCGATGCGATGGATGGCGGGAGGCTGAGGGAGGCCATGCTGCAGTTGAAGAAGCTGCGGACGGAGAGGTTCCTGCACAAACTGCTCGAGTCGAAGGAGATCTTCCGCACGAGGCTGCTCTCGAACGCCATCTCTCCGATGCTTTTCACTGAGGAGGGGATCTCGATCTCGGAGAGGGAGCTGTTGCAGAAGCATTTGTAAGAAATGTGGTCGAGTGAACTGAGGCTTTCGAATTTGAAGAATGAAACAGAGCTCATTTCGAAAGAATGTGGGCCAAATGAGGTAATAGTGTATGGAATGGTGATTCCGGAGAGAGAGGAGTTGTAGAAAGCGAAGTCATCGATGGTGGAGATAGAGGAACCGCGCGCGAAGGAGAATTCGTCCAAATTTGTGCTCGAAAAGGACATTTTCCCAATTGTTTCAACGAATACAGGTATGATGATGCGAGAAATCATGGATTCGTGGAAGCACCACTCGGGAAATTCTGTAATTTGGCATTTTGATTCAAATAAAACTTCTTTTATTGCAGAAGACATAAAAATATGGGTCCCAAAGGATTCAACTGACTTGGGAATCGTAATTGTCTGGATATAGGAACCGAAAAAACACCTCTTTCCCAGAGATCTGCATTTGCTTGTTTCTGTAAAGAGAACTGTCTGTAGAGATGTCGTAGATTCAAATGCTTCGTCTCCTATCGATAGGATTGAGGTAGGAATCGTAACTTTTTTGATACAAGTGTTGCCGAAAAAAGAGTTTTCTGAAATTGACTCAACTGCGAAACCTTGAACTGTAGATGGAATTTCTATCGAATCTTTACAAAGATTTTGGCCTGAAAAAGGCGTAAATTTGTCATTTGAAGTATAAATGTAAATTAAACCTTCAAATTCGACACCAAGAGCTGTAATTCGCGCGTATCCATGACAGGTATGGCCTTTGTTTGTAGATCCGTCTGGTTCTGGAATGTTTTCGTTTCCTGAAACCGTTTCTGCTTCTTCTAGATAGAAAGATGGGTTCAGAAGGCATCCCTGTGGGTAGTTCTTGTACGTTTCAGAGGTATAAACAAAGCCACTACCTCCAGAACCGCCTTTTGTATCAGCAATTTGTCCAATACTTGATGAGTAAGGAGTATTTCGCCCATTCCTTACACCACCACCATACCAGCCACCGCCACCACCGCCGCCTTGGCAATCAGTGTGGTCGCCGCTAAAAAAGTCACCGCCGCTGCCAGAACCTGTCTGAGTTCCTGGAATGGAACTAGCAATATTAGCGGAATTCTTACCACCGGTTAGGCCACCGCCATAGCCACCGGTCCGGTAATAGGAATCTTCACCTCCTCCTCCACCGCCGCCGGCAACGATGACGCGAGCGTATGTGCTATTAGATCCAATGCGGATGTCAGTGCCACCACCACCACCGGAGCCGGGTTGGTGTGAAGAAGATGGAAGGCCCCAAGCACTGCCACCACCATTGAATCCGCCAAAGGCAAAGCCGTTTTGGCTTGTATCGCCCATGCCGCCGACATAGACGTAGACTACAGTGGTAGTCTGAAGTGTCAAAATTCCGTGGGAGTAACCGCCTTGGCCCCCAACGCCATTCTCCGTTAAAGGCTTGACATTGTAGCCGCCACCTTGGGCTCCCCAGCATTCAAGTTTGTATCTTCCTGGTGGTAGATCAATTTTTTCGAAATTATTTGAGAAATTAAAGTTACGAATCATATTAATTCATCATTTATGGGTTGAAAAATATATTGAAAATGAAATTGATGGATTCCATAACAGAAACAATCCCTAAATAGGGATTGTTTGTGTTCTAAAAAAAATTTACAAAATCCCATCACAAACGATTATCCCCCACCAAAAATCGAGCTTAATAATGGAGTTTAGTAATTTGCTCTTTACCTTGATCTATTTCATCCAGATAACCTTTTTGGATCACTATACAGTCATGAACATAGGTTGTCTAATTAAATGATTATGATTATGAATTACAATTTAAGCGTTTGTTATATGAAAGCAGTACAGTTAAATAACATTTTAAGCTAATTTACAATGGAAAATATCAACAAAATAAGAATACAAATACTACATTTTACTTAACATTAAGTTGCTCACGAGATGAAGAAATCGCCATTACGAAGGAAGCTTCTTGATCAGATTTAGCTGGGAGGGAAACAAAATAAGTAAGTCTGTTTCCTTTTCCTTTGAGATAAATTTCACCTCTTTCTTCGATAACAAAATCTAATCCTTCAATCAATGTTTTAGTATCGCCTGAAATTTGGACACATCCTGGGATATCTGTACTCTGAAGTCTTGCTGCGACATTGATTGGATCACCAATGATATCAAATGTTGGCTTATCTGATCCCAAAACTCCGCCAATTAGAGGACCACCTGAATTGACGCCAATTCTGACTTCAAGAGAGGCACTTAATTTGACATTAATTTCTTCCATGGCTTTCTGACATCTCAAGCAAGCCCTGACTGAATCTTCTGCATACTTCTTTGGATCGTCTTCTTCTGTGCAGAACAAGCCTGCTGCTGCCATGTAAACATCTCCAATTAATTTGATTTTTGTTATGATTGGATATTCTCCCACGATTTTATCGAATGTCGCGAAAACCAAAGACAAGTTTGCCATGATTTCTGATGGAGTCAAGGTTGCTGTGTAATTGGAGAATTTGACTATATCGATGAAGAAGATTGTTGCTGATGGAATTGTGAATGAAATGTCCGTTTCGCCTCTGTTGAGTCTGACAACAATATCCTTTGGCAAAATCTGATATAACAACTTTTCTGATTTAGCTTTAGCTTCTTCAGCAGCCTTTCTCTTTTGTATTTCTTCTGTTTCATTTCTTAAAATGAAAACAAAACTCTTGATTTCATTTGAACCTTCATCTTTCATTCCAATGAGAGTCACTGAGAATGGAACAATATCATTCTTGTCATTGACAAGCGTCAAATGATCTTCCCAGAATGAAGAGCCTTGTCCACTTGTCATCATTTCAAGCTGTTGATTGATTCTTTGTTGGTCATCAGTTCCAACAAAGTTTGCAATTTGCTGACCTAACATTTGGTCAGGTGTCAAACCAAGATTTGCTGTAACTGAATTATTTATAATTTCAACCACGCTGGAAGCATTTGTAATAATAATGCATTCGCTTGTATCATAAACAATTGATTTGGATGTTGACATATTTTCACTGCTCTTGACCTTCTTCTTTCCAGTGAAGAATTCAATGATTTCTGGAGTATCAATGATTGTCTGCATTGGTAAATGCTTCAAAAGCATCAAAAACATATGATAGCTATCTAACATGACATTTCTAAAGTACCAAGGCATAAGGAAAATGATAATCCAACAAATGCAAGCGGAAGCAAGGAAAATCGCATTCTTCGTCATTGTATTGTCATAATTGATTTCCATCATATCTGAAATTCTCTTTGTTGCTTTGATAACACCTGGATAGAAATGGAAACGTAAAATATGAGCATAATTTGCTGCTTTTTCACTCATCATGTTTCCATTATATGATTCAATGTTTTTAATTACTTCGTCAATGAAGTATTTCAACATTTGGATCTGTGATTCTAAACCTGTGCAGGCATACGTATCATGGATTGATTGTGGAGATCTTCCTAAGTCACAGTAATTTTCCAAGTGTAAGTGATCTAATTCTTCATCAAAAACAATGCATCCTGGAATCGTAGAATCTCCGTATAAAAGAGTTTTATCAGAATTTAAGAACCTGGAAAGCATGTCGATTTCTCTATCTCTTAATGCAGATACATTGACAATGCGCTGTTGTAATGATCCATTTAAGAAAATCATTTGCAACGAGTTATTTCCGCACTGTGAAGCCAAAATTATACGCTTACAAGAGAGATAGAACCAGGTGAGAATCTTATTCAACGTTGAATTCATGTTCTTGTTTTCCATAATGAATAATGAATAAGAAACTAACAAGGCGATAGCCGCAACATAGTAAGTGAGTCTGACAACCATTAAGAAAGTTGATTTTACTTCTGAGGTTCCAGCATTGTTCTCATTGAGGACGTCAGTGTTTAATATTAATGGTTTTCGTGCTTCGTCTTTGACCTGGGCTTGAAGTTGATGCAAAATAATACAGATTTTACTAACTCTGATGTTATAATGTATATCAATAAGAACCACAGGGAAGAAAACAATTATGAACATAGAAACCAAACCAAAAATCAACCATATCATGAATATTGTGTTGTATTTTGCAGATTTATCCTTATTATACTCTAAAATTTGTGTAAAAGTTGTGTCAGCTAAATCAGTGATTGCAGGAATGTTTGACAAAATTTGGCAATAATCATTGGACGAATAAAGATTTGATGGCATTTGGTTGAAATTGTAAAGACCTGCAATGTAGTTTTCTAAATAGCTGAATGTGATCATTGAACTCTTTAAACTAGATGGGATAATGAAATCTGGCGTTGCATTAACACAAACATAAAAAGTTGTTTTCGTTTCTAATAATGGAGAAGCAATTTTATATGGATTATCTCCATTAGCTGCATGATCTGCTAAGCTATTGAGCAAAGATCCCAAATAGTCTCTTGATCTATTCATACAAACATAGGACTTCATTGGAGTTGATAGTTCGTTTGGAATCAAAAATTCCACTACTTTACTATCAATTGAAATATCTCCTAATGCTTTCCCACTTGGATCCATTCTTTTGTTGTCTGCAGCAAATTTTGACATTGTGTAAACATTTGCATAGATTGTATAAAATGTTGAATAGCCAATATCAGAAAGATCTTTGTAACTTGATCTCCTCCATTTCAAATTAACTCTGACATATGCGTAAAATCCTACGAAGCAAACGAAAATGATAACTGTGGATGCAATGACATGGCATAAGATTCCTGTGTACTCCCAAGGTTTCGTGTCATTGATACCATGATGAAAGGCTAATCTTACTTTTGCATCTCTTAAAATCTTCTTAGAAACAATTTCTTGCCTTTCAAAGTCAACTGAGTTAGAATCGAAACTTGCTCCTGTTGATGAATTTCCACTTGAGTTAGAGGATTTCTGAGAGGCATCAGTTTTATCTCCTAATGTTTTGAGAATTCTGTGGTCTTTGACATCAAGGATTTTATCTTTAAGATATCTTGGGAATTTGTTAACCAATGAACGGAATGAGACATCAACATTGAAATTCTTTCCATCTCCAATCAATTCTGCTCTGATGCTTTCTTTGATTGCATTGTCAAAGTCACCTTTGCATTCAGCCAAGAAGTTGGAATATTCTGTGACTAATCTCAAATTATTCGGATTGCTCATCAAAGATGCTTTGAACAATGAATCAACATCATTGACAAGGAGACTTAAGCTTGAGAAAAAGTTCGAATCAGCCTCGTTTTTGTCCCAAAATGACTTTATTGTGTTCTTGCAAAGATCGTTTTTGTTTTTAAGCTTATTGAACATTTCAAGAGTATCTTTTGTATCAGACACTAATCTCTTCATTTTGATTCTGAAGCATTGATAAATTAGGAATCGATCGCTAAACCCTAATTTGTGTCTTTGAGCAACTCGCTTGAAAAGAACATCCATTTTACGCGATTCGAAAGGGAATAATGTGACAACTTGAAGCAACATTGAAATAGCCCCTTCTAAGTTGCTAGAGTTAAGGCAATAATCGGTTAAGGAACCATCAACGAAGTAATCACAATTAAAGATTAAACCAACAATGATCCACATGTTGGCTTGATGGGAGTTTCTATTAATTTTGAGGGAATCAAAGTATTCTGTTATATTAGAGACTTCTGGATTATAGGTTAAAGCTTTTCTGAAATTTCCTGAAACTATTGTGATGGCAATTTTACCACCAATGTAGTTTAATATCAATGCAATGATAAATACAAAGATTGTGTAGTTAAATGTTAAGTTGGGACTGTATGCTACAACGAAGTAATTTACATTAAGTATGACAGTAGTGATACAGAAGTCCATCATCAATACATTTCTCCATAAATCATAGAATGGAAGGTAATATACACGCAATTGAACATAGAAAGTAATAATAATATGAAGAATTCCGCCCATCGTGTAAAACCAGCTGTCAAAGTAGTTAAAAACAGCCGATAATATGGAACATGTTGCAGTAATTATAATCCAAATTGTAACGGCGTCGTATTCAAACATTGGGAATAAGAAACTTGCCAATACAACTGATCTTGCCTTAAGGATAGAACTAAGTAGGAAAATTGCAACATAAACAGAAAATGCAACGAATCCAAGAACAATTTCTAATATCAATTGGGTTCCCGAGTTCTCTTTCAAGTCAGTTATGCCATGAGCGCATATGTAAGCTGAAGGGACAATAAGAATGGGAGTCAGCATATCAGTAAGTATAAATGAAATGTAGAGGGTAGGAACCGAAATTGTATAAAATAAATGGTTCAAAAATAATGTGAATATTATCCAAAGAATGCAGAACACTGCAATTAGGATATCTACGATCACCCATGTCTGTATTGACATTGTGTAATCAAGAGGATTAATAAAAGTGAAGATTTGCATCAATACATTATTAACTTTGGTCCATGGTCCGCTAGTTTTTTGAAATACAGGTGTATATACCCAAAAACATATGGATAAAACTTGGCAGAGCAGATAAAACATGATAATTCCCATGATCCATGCAGGCATTTTAACATGTTGAATCATCTGCTCAAAAAGAGGGAAGACTTTGTCCAACAGACTACCCTTCCCTTGAATAACCTTCGAATAATTCTCGCGCGATTGACTTGAGGCTGAAACTGACTTGGAAACAGAAGATTCAGCCATAATTATTTTTCTATTTACCTTATCGCATAATTTGAAAACTAATTCAATTTAATTCTATCTTTTTATTATAAAAAATGAATCTACAATATAAAATTAATCAATTGGTTTAATTAGTCCCATCATTTTTGAGAAGTATTCAATCCTACTACTTTAGATGATTTCTCAATATTTGAATATTTTATATGTTAAACTGTAATTTCAAATCCAAAATTAAGATTTTTCAATTAAATTTCTAACGTTTTATCCATCTAAAATTTAATAAACCAATTATACTATCTACTTTTAAGACATTCAAAATTAAAAGTTTGTTCATCATTTCAGTAAATTTTTTACCGATAGCAGAAAATAAAACATTGAAAAATATTTATTTTTTCAATGTTTTCCAAAGATGGATAGTTTAAATCGATGTTTTAGATGAGCAAATGAGAATCGAATATTCCAAATATCTAACGTATAAAATCTATCAATATTCAATTCATTCAAAAGTGAACGGTTATTTTGTTTTTATGTCATTTGTAATTCTGACAATATTTTCATTTTGTTTTTATATGATTGGTCTAATAATGCTGACTACTCAATTATCTGAACAAGAGCGCAATCCAAATATCAAATTATCAATTTACAACTGCCATCGATTAATGATTCCATTGAAATTCATGTATCAATTCATAATCCCATCTAATTTTTATTTTCTTTTTATAAATCCTTCAAAAAATTCGAATTAATTTTTCAAAAATAAACGATATCCATTATCAATTTTATCATCGTAAAAAATACCTCTAAACGAAGATTCTAAATACATATAATTTCTTTAATTCAAATAACATAACAAAAATTCAAAGAATTTCTTTTTGTTTTCCTTTAATTCCTGATTCATCTCAGTCTTCAAGTTCTCCATTTCCTGGTTGATCTTTTCCGCTGAGCATGAAATCTTCGGAATTTCGATCTCGAAGTCGTTGCACAGCTCCTTCATGAAGTCGTAGCACGATTCGAACGTATTCATGGACTTCTCATCAACTTTTCCATCCAAACAATTCGAAATAATCGAATTACAAACATCAGAAAAGTGACAAATCCAATTATTAATTTTTTCTTTTTCCACATTTTGAGCTGACTGGATTGCAACTATTCTGCAGCTTCCAGAGAATGTTTTGAACTGCTTTGAAGACATCAGAACCTTGTCCAAGCTCTCAATCAGCACAGAATTATCAACAGAAATTATTTTCTTATTGATATTCGCTGGAGAATTCGTGATCAGTTCATCAGTCATCGTAGACAGCAGAAATGCAGAGCAAATGTTGTCCAGATACTCTTCGGAGACAAATGTCATTTCCCTGCAAATGTGAGTTGACAAACCGCTCAATATGTGGTCGAATGAGTTAAAATTGATTTGCTGCGAAAGGACTTTGTAGAAATCGCAGATGAGCGGTTGCAAATGAGGTGGACAACCATCCAACAGACATGTTTTCCTCTGCAAAATAGTTTTGAAGATTTTTTCTCTCAATTCATCAGAAATTGTCAAAAATGAAGTCAAATAATCAACAAAATACTTCGATGCTGCTGGATGAGAGTTCATCATCATGTCAAAGAGGTCGCCGAACTCGATCTGGATCTTGTACAAGTAGAGATTCGACAGTTTGTCAGTTCTCAGGCCTCCGAACAAATTTTTCTTTTCCTTGTTGAAAAGAACAAATGATTTGTTGAAGTTCGTAAGGATGTCTATTATCAGCAATGTGAGCGGTGACTTGTACTTAGCAGTGTTGACTAGATAAAAGCGGATTCTCTCAAAATCAAAGAAATCATCGGATGATTTCGGAATTTTTTCGAGAATTCGCGAGGACAAAGCGAAGAATACAGAGTACTTCGAGATAACAGACATCCTAATCACATCATCTGAGAATAACAAGCTTGTAACATATGAATAGTTCTCTTCATTGACGTTATTAACAATAAAATGGTACAAATCGTCGCACATGCAGTCTCGGACAAGGAAATAGAACAGAGATGATGAAAAGAACTTAAGGACTTCGCTTTTGGTCACTAAACTGAGAAGATTTCTCAAAGAAGAAATATTCGGGAAATTTCTTCTGAAGTAGTCAAATGATTTGAAGAATTTGGCGGAATTATTCGTATTCCAAACAAGTTGTGGCTTTCCATTCGTACTGAAATAGAAGAAATCAAAGCAATAAGCTAATGACTGGTTTGGAGAGTACAAATCCTTTCCAAAATTGCTTATTGCGTCAACAAATAACCCAGAATTCTTGTAAAACTCCCCGAAAATTTGAGATCTCTTCATAATTTCCTTCAAAACAACAAAATAATTCGGTGCAGGGAAGAATGTCAGCACTTCACGCCTGTTGTACATGAAATCACCGAAATATTCGACAATCCTATGAGTAATTGAAACTAAATCTGGCAAATAAGACAGCATTATGTTGAATGCAGTCTTAAACTGGTCCAAATCACTACTTTGCTTCATATTTTCGGCAACTTTTATCTTATCTTCCATTTTTTGTTTAATCTTTTCTTCATCTAAATCTTCTTCATCATTTTGATTATTATTTTCGATATCACTTGCATCATCAAAGTCTTTTAATATATATCCTTCGTTTTCGTCATCATCATCTTTCTTATTTTGAACAAAATAATTATTTTCTTCTTTTTCTTCGGGTTCCTCTTCAACAACAATATCCACATGCTTTAGTGGTGGCGGAAGTGTTGCAATGAGCAACTTTTGAGATGCTTCTCTTACAACTTGGTTTTCATTTAAGAGATAAGGGATAAACATAGCGTAAACATTCTCTATTGTCGATGAATTCTTCAAGTTTATGCAGTAATTCAGTCTATTTGCAGCTTCTTCTATGACATTAGCAATAAATTCCGGAGATTTTGAGGTAATAACTTTCATTACAGTGTCAATAATGATGCTACTGACATTGCCATCCATGAATAAACCGAGTGTGATGTAGGCGGAACTAAGCAAAGCCGTCATTTGCTTTGATGACTCCAAGATTATTGTTTTCAGCATGTTTGCGTACTTTGGATCATCTCCAATGAACCTGGATATGAATGTTATGAATGATTTAGTATGTTTCAACGGTTTAATCCATGTTTCTATGAATTCTTTCTGTAAAATTCCGAAAGATTCTTTAAATTTTTTAGTTTGGTCGGTCGAAAACGTCATAATTAGTATCTCAAACACCAAATCAACATTAATACTCGAAATGACATTTTCATCAGGGAAATTCATTGAATGCAAAGGCAAAACCGTTTTGACAAACACGAAAATTGCTTCGAAGAAAATTTCTTTTTCATTGTCGTCTGTCAGTTCCACAGCTCTCTTCACGACAGCCCAGAACTCGTCCAGATTCCTCCATGAGCTAGAAATCATTTCGGACTGCGAGACAATTTTATTTGCGAGGAATTCAGTGAAAAGGAGCTTCTTCACCTGGCATGCGAAATTTAATGCCTCGGAAAGTATCAAAGAGTAGACTTTCCTTGTTGTCTGGTTGTTGCAAATGATCAGCAGGTTGTCGACGTCTTTGTCCTGCGTCAGAACGAACTCCGCAATCTGGTGGTTCTCGCTCATCATTTCGCAGAATTTCTCCACGAGGGGGAGGGAGTTTTCCTCTGTGAGGAATGAAGACTGAGTGAATGTGATCAGGTTTTTGTAGAGGAACATCCCGGTGCTGTCGACGTCGCTCACCTTCAACACGAGTTTGGAGAACTCTGGATTAGTGGAAGTGTACTTGAAAAGGTGGTATTTGATCCGTTTAGTCGTTTCCTCTAAAATCAAATCGTCAATTCGCTCCTCTTTTGAATTACTTTTGATTTTCGAATAAAACAATAAATAGCCAGAAGTGGATTTCTCAAATTGTAAAAGTGACATTTGTAAAGTTCTTGAATCAAAATATTCAATATTTTCGAAACCGCCGAAATTGTTGTTTTTCACTGTCTCCAAATCAACCTCAAACGAATTGTGGTCATCAAATAAAACCCATTTTTCATTGTTAAGTTTTGTATAGCAAGTGAAGTGACCACTTAAATAATTTCCCTGATGTGCAACAATAGAATTCAGTTCGTACTTGGCAGTAGAAAGAGAAATGTCCAGCTCGTCAGATATATCTAGTTCAAATGGAAATGAAAACTTTTTGTTCGTTTTCTCAATCGTTTTATTTTCATTCCGGACAAACCTGTTCAATTTAAATACCAACACTTTTGGAGCTTTGACAAATTTAATTCTTTTTATTTCGTCTGTGTTCATCTCATCAGTTTTAGTTTCTTCTTCTTTTGGAACTTGAATTGAATTGACAAAATTAGTAAAAGTGACGTCTTCTTCAATTTGTTCATCTTTTTTCATGACAGGTTCTGGGGGGTTTTCCAAGTCACTTTCATTCTTTTCTTCGACAATCTTCTTATCAGATCTCAAGTAGTTCTTAAGAGATTCTTCCAAACTGTTGAATTTCTCTACATCCAGTGATAAAACATCGAAATCTTCTGTAATTTTCGTGTTGTCAATCAAATATTTTGAAATTTTACCTGAGAAATAGTTTTTCAGGGATGAGTTGTTGACAAAGAACTTGTAGAAGTCTAGAGAATCTCCCTGTTGAGTGACATCTAATTGGACGCCGTCATCAAAGCTGAATTTCTCCAAAAAGAAAAATGAATTAACATAAAATGAAGGAGAAAACAAAATCTCTCCAAATAAAAACTGAATTTCGGACATCCAATTTTCGGAAATTTTCCCCATAAATTCATTTCTAAAATTAGTTAATCCAAAAAGTGACATCAAAATAACTGATATATAGTCAATTTTTCCTGGATTAAAAATACCTTTTTTGACATCGTATCCAGTCAATCTTATTTCAGGGAGATTTGATGGCATCTTGTAGACCAAGTCCTGGATTTGATTCAATTTGTCAAAAAGAGGCTGACAAAATTCTGGATTTTGATCCAAAATCGTGAAAATCAAGTTGAAAATCTCTTTTGATGGAATGTAAAATTTGTAGCCACTGAATAAAATGTCTGAAATCAGGAAAACAAACAATTTTCTACTATTTGGCAAAATGTCAAATTTATCTCTCAGTTTATCCAAAATAACGAACAAATTCTGACAGTAGATGAAGTCATTTGGTTTGTAGTTTAGTTTCTCTATCACATTGTCAGTCTGCGGCGGGTAGTATAAGTCAAACAAGATGGAAATTGTTTCAGACCACAATTTTTCTGTTTTTTCTGTCTTCGAAGCAAAATCTTGCAACAAAACAAAATAGAAATCAGTAAATTTTTGTTTTGAAGAAGTTTCTAAGTTAGATAATAAGAATCTTTCTTGATTTTCGGTTGTCTGCTTCATTATAATTGTAGAAATAGTTTCTCGAATCATTTTGTTAGAATGGAAAATTGTAATGTCAAATAACTTTGTAAAGTTCTCAATCTTGTCATTTTCCAAATTAAATTTTTGCAAAATTAGCAACAAATTTAGTAAAATCCTTTCATTTTCTGCGTAGTCAATTGCAAATTGAACTAAAGCCGACAAGTTTTTTGGATCAAATACGGAATTCATTTCTTTTTCGTTGAAAAATTCCTGGAAAATTGATATTTTTGTCACTTCCAAAATGAGTTCAATTTCATCTTCATCGAAACATTTTCTGACGCAGAAAATCAGGATCCCGAGCAGTACTTTCACTCCTCCGCTCTCGTAGAAGAACTTTATCCACTCAAGATGCTTTCCTTGCAGAATGGAACCGACTAAATTCAGTCTGTAGAGGAAGAGATATCTGTTCTTTGTTTGCAAAAAATTTGCCCATTCTTTCGGATTAAATTGCGTTTTCCTCAGAATTTCATTTTGGCTTTCTAGTGTCGGCAGCAAATTCAGAACTTGCAAACTCAGTTTTGACATTCTGTCATTCCGATTTAGAATGTCAAACAGATCTTTTTGGTATTTATCCTGAGATAGAATTTGGGAAGGAAAAACTTTTGGAAGATTTTTTTCGAATTCCATTGAATACCAAACCTTAATTTCAAACACATCGTTATTGATTAGTTTAAATGTATCTTTTGTCACCACTCTGTTTCTCTGTATGAAGGAGAAGCACTGCTCGTTGACAGAGATCAGGGAACTGACTCTTTTCTTGAAATTTTCAAATGACAAATAGAAAGGAACGGAAAACGACTGAGAAATATATCCAACGAAATTAATTTTGACCAAATCAGCCTCAGGCTCAAACTTGTTGATTGGAATGAACTTGTTGATCTTCCTGTCAACTCCATCCTCAATCAGATGAATCATCTTGAAAAGAGCCAAAAGAGAACCACAAGAAAAACCTTTTTCGTTGCATTTTTCAATGAAATAAGGAACTTGTGTTTGATAGATTTGGACAACAAAATCAGCAATTTCTTCATCACCATTTCTAACAAGCAATTCCCAGAGCATCTCGCAGCCTTTGACTCTTTGTTCCTGTGTCAATAATTTGTAAATAATCGAAATAACTTTTTTGGAAGGAGAATTTGAGTCCAAATTGCAAATAAGCTGGAGTAAGTCGAGAACCATCTCCTGACTGAACAAATCTTTGTTTGATTCTAAAATTGATTCAAGGAAATCAGAGATTTCTTTCATATATTTCTCTGACAAAACTTTGACAAATTCTTTTAGTTTTTCAAATTCTTTTTCTTCCAGGTTTTTCTCTATTTTCTCCAGCAAAATCTTAAAAAGATTTATAATTCCTTTGTGATTTACGATTGTCACGTTTTCATAAATTGAATGAGCTCTTTCACTTTTTATATTTTTACAAGAATGAGATAACAACGGAATTGCCAAATCCAAAACGTTGTCTTGGGATATGAAGGAGAGGCATTTGTTTATCATCTTGTTCTGGATCTCTTTGTCTGATGGGAGATAAGTCAAAATCAACTCAATGTAAAGTTCGTCACTTTTTTCAATTTCAAAATATTTATCCGAAATCTGGCGGAAAATTTTTGTTTTTTCTTCTTCCGGACAAACGAAAACAACAATTTTGAGGAACTTGAGGATGCTCTCGTTGTAGAAATCAATTGAAATAATCGAATTAAAAAACGGTTTTGTCACCTTTTCTTGTAAATTTCTCAATAAATTACACCAATTTTTAAAATATTTTTGGATAGAGATTTCATCTTGTTTTATCGTTATTGACCACAATTTCTCAAAATCAGCTTCTTCCATTTTGTCCTGAGAAATAATTTTGGAAAAAATTTCAAAAAAGTGACTCAAATTTTGAATTGAAATCTGATTTTTCAAATTTGAAATCAGTCCTGCTTTTAAGATAAAATCTATTAGTTCATTGTCTTCTGATTCAGAAAGTTTTTGCTTTAAAGAGACAATTCCTTGCGTTTGTTTCTCGAATTGATCTGAAATTGAAAATTTTACATCGAGAGCAACTTTTGCTAACGAAATTTGAGACTTCTGATGATCATTGGTAGATAATTTGGTAAGTGAATCGAAGATTTTCTCAATTAAAATAATATTTTCTGAATTAAATAAGCTTTCGTCCATATCTGTACATTTTTCGATGTGACATTGTATGGCATGCATCATGAATTCATCAAGGTGGAAATTATAAATGCCTGTATTAAATAAAAAAGTAATTAATGATAAAATAAATTCTAATCTTTCGAAAGAAATGTTGTGGGATTGATCTAAAAGGATTTCCAACTCGCTTAAAAACTGTGGTGTTGATAACTGGCTCAACAATTTTGAATAAATAAATGAATATTTTTCACCTTCCTTTTTTGTTGATTCGTAGATCGGAGAATTTATATTGGTGAATATTTTTGAGGACTTTTGAAGAAAATTTGAATACTTTGATGTAATAAAATTTGAAAATAAGTATGTAATAGAATTTAAAACTTCGAAGAGAGGATTTATATCTGAATAATCGGATGATCTGGATTCCAGTATCATGTCAATAAGTGTTATACAAAATCCATTCAAAAAAGCTTCAGCGTTTTCTCCAAAATTTGATGGAAGCTCTCCAGATTCTATTAATTCCTTAAAAACTTGTTTGAACTGATTCAGAGAATCTTTGTTTTGGATTTCTTTAGGGAAATTAGATAGTATTTGTTGTTTCAAAATTAGATTGTATTTCTCTTTCGAAGTCATTTTTTTGAAAATACTGATACAATCGTTTTTGCTATTTGGATTTTTGATTCGGTGCGAATAACAAAAATGATTTGAGTTCGTAATTTCAGAAATTTTGATTCTGATTAAGGATTTTAGTGTTGTATTTAAGGCCTCATTGCTGATATACAATATGTTTTTGCTTAATTTCAAGAAGGTATTCTCTAAAGACATCCATTTTTAATCAACAATTTGATATAAAGAAAAATAAGATATATTAATAAATTTGAAACATACTTATGAAATAATAATTATTTCTAATAAAATATGACATAAATGCTTTTGTTTTTTAAAAAAATGTTTTAAAATATTCAAATTTTTATATTTCGGATATCATTCCATTACATGTTGAACTTGGATGCTTTAAAAAAGTATAAGATAAATGCGAACATATTTTCTGCGAATTCAAAATATTCAATGAAGTGACTCAAAAAAACCAAATTTTACGTGCTAATGGCTATCATACAAAAATTAATCTTATATCAATATTATTAAAATTTGATTAATTAAATATAAACTTTTGAGATATACATAAATTTGAATACTTTGCCTCAAAAAGAGGTAGGGCAACGATAGAAAATTTTTGGAAAAAAAGTTCGGAGATCTTAAATGTATCATATTCCCTGCATGGTTTGGTATCTTCCGCCATGCGTTGTGCCAAACATATTGACACTTTCCAATAATTAATTTATGGTATGAGTCACAGAGTTAGATTATAAAAAGAAAGTAAATAATTGCAATTAGAAATCATATATGTCGGAAATCAAATGTTGATGAGCAGAAACCTTTTACTCATCATAAAAGAGATAAATCACTAAAGATTTGTATACATTAAAATTTGATATTTGGTGCTCGAAAACTGTCTGATGGGACTCCTCCAAAATGAGCCAATCTATCGCTGAGGACCAAATTAGATGATGTGGATGGTGTATTCTCTAATTCTAACTTAGGAAGAATGGGAACAAAACGAATGACGACAACAACATGTCAAACATAGATTAAATATCTATGAATCAATAAAGTATACGTGCATTGAAGGTGATAACAATCACTTGAGGCTTATAACTCTTTGACTAAATTATGCAATAATTAAATATAATCATTTTTATATTTTTATACTGATAGTAATTAATATACTATCCTGCTTAATAAATGGTATGATCAAATTTGTTTGAAAATTTAATTATGTATATGAAACTATGTCTTCTATATAAAAATCAAAATTTTCGGACGAACCTAGATTGAAGCTTTATGAAAATCTATCATTTTTGTTAATTGAGTTAATATGAATCTTTTACATATGTATATATAGCATTGATAGCTTATATAATCATGGTTTATTCCATATTAACATATTTTTTTCAGTTAAATTTGTTAATAATATCATGTAACAAATTAATTCAAGATTAGAATGTCTACAAAATGCTAACAAATAAGAACAAAATACGATTTCTCGACTTAAATTTTAATATGGAGTAGTTTTTCGTTTAAATCTAATTAAAAATGAATAAAAACTTATCTTGTACTATTTTCATTCAAAGATTTTAATAATGTAAATCATGCATTTTCATAATTCAGTACAGTTCTTTTTAGAATTAAAGTTGATGAGGATGATATTTGTGATTTAAAATAATTTGTTAATGTTTACCTTTTATTCATCACCTTGTGGTATGCCCTAAAGCAATAGCATTATCAATTCTGCTGAATTGATCAACTCAAAATTCCAAAAAAAATTCAAAATTTCAAAAATGAAATTAAACAATTTGAATTTTCACAGGTAAAAATCAATTTCGAAAAAAATTTGGAAAATCAAAGTATTTGATAATTAGTCAAATAATCAATTTACATCGTTTTTACTCATAAAAAACAACTAATTTTTGATTTTGATATCATATTTGATAAATACTCATTCCAGAGTTGACGTAATGTATTAATTATTGTTAGAGATATTGCTTTCGCAGCAAAATTCTTATTTCATGAAAGAAAAAAAAAATGATTTTATTCCAACAAAAACAAGTAAACAGATGAATGGAAACGTACTATATTTTCATAAATGTAGTAATCGGTGTGTCGGCTTTTGTTTATCATGTTCGAGTCAAAATGTATTAACTTGTAATAAGAAATATTCGAAGATTATATGAAGTATTGAGCATTCTTTGTAGAAATATTTGTAATTCATTACTAACATATATAATAAAGTTGTTTTTTTTTCCTTATTGCAATAATTTTGTCTGATTTTAATAACTTTTCATGTATACGAGTTGTGTGAATATGCATCATAATATGCGTAAATATACTTATTTGCGACGAATAATGTGGTTGCATAATGGAGGTGCTAAATTTTGATTTTTAATATGGGGCTTTGGTATGTATAATCATGTTCTTATCTCAACGTAGGAGTATTGGTGCAATATGATTAAAATTTACGAGGTTGATCTTAAATTGAATAATTCTGGAGTATAAATCACAATGCAGCTAATTCTATGTTAAAGATAGATACAGATTGTAGTAATCAATTAGGGAGTACAAATTCATTCTTTCATTTCTGTCGTATTGAGCAGAAAGGAAGAGATCATAACCCTAGGAAAAAAAGCCCAAATTTGTCACTTTTCATAGTACGTTAAACTCAATTCGCTCGGCGAATGCCGAGCACACGTACTCATCATTCAACATAATATTCTCATTCTTTGGTTATTATAGTGCCAGACAACACAAGATTTCAAAGAATTACTTGAGTTTTCAATTAATCTCAATCCGATTTTAGATTTATCGAGAACTCCATCATCACAATCACATACTTCAGTGCGGTAACTACAATTATTCATATACAGAAGGAAGTTCTTTTCGAACAACTCATTTGGAGTCTGTTTTGGAAAGAACTTCTTTCTGTCCGACTTAATTTCATAGTTCCTGATCAACCAAAAGACAGAAACCACACACTATCTACTTAGGAAAGGAGTTCTTTCTAAATCTTCCTTAAATTGAGATTTTACGAGAGATAACCCTTCTATTGCACTTAAAAATGAACATTTTGATATCTTTAGCATCACACATGGTCATATATAGTATTTCATCTACATGAATACATTCATCTTTCGAAGTCTCTCATTAAATGGGAGGCTTCGAAAGATGAATCGTTTTATTCATACAACTTTAAATCTCGAACACATTTAGAGAGTGAGTATATCATTTTATTCTTGTTTTGAGTTTATTCTGATTCAAAATTGCAGTGAAAACAGAAGTTCACACATCATATCTGAATGTGAGCTCATCTATACTTATACGATCTCAATACCTCCACTCTAAGCATAAGAGGTGAAGTTATATAAAAATTATCAGATGCGTTGAAGTCTCAAAAGTATTGCCTGAATGCTTGTTTCATATTTGTCCAAGTAGTTTCAATGAATAAATGTATTGTTTTTTATAATTTCGATTTATTTTTAGAAAATATTCAATATAAACCTTTATTGTGTTATTTACATCTCATAAATTCTCTGTCTAAATCATATAAAAGCGCGTTTTACCCCTATGAATCAAGAAATTCATTCAATATTCATGGTATATTTATTAAATTTATACGATTTACTAATAATCAATATTATATCCTCATAAATAGCAATATATTTTGGTAATCTATGATAATCATATACAATATTTGAAATCAAATTTTCATTAGTTTAGGTTCCTTGTTAATAGTAAACCATTATATTTATTACTAATAATAAAATCTATGTGTCGTATTGAAATTCAATAAAATTACTTATTCGGTCCAAAAAAACAAATTAGATAAAATTTTTCTTTTTTTATGTAATTTTTGTTTTTCATTTTTCTCAAGATCCTAAGTTATGTGCTAACTTTTGACATCATATCCTATCATGCTAGGCTATATATTATAGCATATCCAAAAAGCAAGGAAATCTATCAGAGAAGCCTTTTTGACCTATCGTTGCCCTACCTCTCCTCAAAATCGGGGATCATTTTTCTAAAATTTTAATTGGTTGAAAAATCATGTAATAAACATAGACTTAAATCCCAACAGCTATCAACTTTGAGAACTATTTGGTCGATAACCGAATCCTTTTATTCATTTTTAAAATCAAAGCACGTTAGATTTTATTCACAAAAAAGTTTATTTCTGACACGATGAAATGAATCAATAAAACATTCAATATTAAGAAGCTGCACGTCAAAATATTTAACTTTCAAATTTCTCAATTATTTTTATTTCATATTTTGAAATGCTATTGCTTTTGCGCTCAGAGGAAGTTTCATATAAGGGCGAGCAATATCCAATTAGACGTGCTGTTGCCCAAAATTTCTTATTCGACCAATGCCTTTTTGATTTAAAAGGCGATACTGAGCAAGGATCAGCTTTAATTTTAACAAATGGCAGCACACAATACAAAGTTCAAATGGAATCGACAATATTTAATAGATGCAAATCCAAACAAGGCGGATCAATGTATCTTTCAGGTGATTTTATTGCATATCTCAAAAGAGTGTGTATTTCAGATTGTCATGCAGCAGAATCAGGTGGAATCATGACATCTTTATTATCTCAATTACACATATCTTATTTATCTGCTGTTAACTGCATTTCTCAGGAAAAATGCTTAGAAATTCAAGGAAATCCGATATTAAATAATCTAAATATATCAAAATGTACAGTTAATAAGCCAAACTCTTTTGGAATTAATTATGCCTATGGAATTCTTTTTATATATCAAAATTCACAAGCATTTCATTTGATATGGAGTACATTTAACAACAATACGTCTCCATGTGGTATATTCTATTCAAAAAAATGTGGAGCAATATCATATGTTTCAAACTGCATCTTCTACAAGAATTATTATTCAAACTATGCTTTATTTTATGTAGAAAATAGTGATTCCAATGTAATAAATATTGCAAGTTCGATATTTTTGGCAAACGAACGCACAAATTGCCATTACATTGTTGAAGCCGACTCTAGTATTATTAATATGGCTGATGGAAAAAACTTTTTTGATAATATTGATTTTAGAGGCTCTGTAGCAACTGCTTCTGGTTACACTTACAGCCAGAATACAGAAACCTATCCAATTATTTACTATGGCACTGCAAATTGTTATGCAGAATTACCATATCCAAGGCAATCACCAACATTTATGGAAACTCCATATAATACTCCATATTTAACTTTGGATGTAACGCCTATTGATACACCATTAAACACTCCTTTCTCAACTGCATATATAACTCCATTCTTAACGGCAGAACAATCAGAACAAATGACCCCATATTTAACTCCCTTCACAACAGCTGATATTACAGAATTTCAAACTCCATTTGAAACAAATCATTTTACTCCATTTGAAACTTTTGTTCAAACTCCTTTCTCAACCGCAAAAAGTACGTTTTATCAGACTCCATATGAAACACCTTTCTCAACAGCTTATGGAACAGAAATAGAGACCCCATTTGAAACATTTGCCATCACTCCATTTGATACAAACCACTTTACCCCATTTGAAACTTTCGTTCAAACACATTTCTATACTGCAGAACAAACCCCAAGCTCATCGCCAATTGGTCAAAAAGATAGAACGGCATTCGAAACTCCGGTTAGAACATTTTATTTGACGCCAATGCAAACAGAGAAGATTCCTGTTCCAGAGAGTTCAGAAAATCAACATCAGGACAATTCTCCCACAGATGTCCAAAATCAAACTCCAAAAGTTAAGGATTGTCCGAATGATCAACAAGTTTCAACAAAAGATAAAAAGATCAAATCATGGGTATGGGCAGTTGTTGCAGTAGCAATTGTCATTCTTATTGCTATAATTGTCATTATTATATTTTTGTTTGTGAGAAAATCCAAAGATGATGATTCTCAAGAAATGTCTGGTGTTTCTGATGGAGAAGTTACAAATGTAATTTCTACAGGAACAGTGAAACTGAATCAGCTTTCGGTCACTGTAGACAATCCGCTATTTTCAACAAATGCTCAGGAAAGTGATGATATATTCCAAATGACAGCCCAAGATTCCGTCAATAGGATTGATTTGGATTATTAATTTATTGTTTGTATAATAAAGAAAATTTATTTGTACAGTGAAAATGAAACAACGATTATTTCGGTTTTACATCAACTAAATCATGAATGAATTTTTTTTTATAAATCATGAGTTCAATGAGATCCACCCCAAAGGTCAGAGGAGAGAACCTTCCATTGTTGGAAAATGCAATAATGATGGCAAGTAACATGAATTACAACAATAATCTTGGAGTTTTCCCGAGACCTGAAGAAATGAACAAAATCATTATCTCCATTCAGGAAGAAGAGGATATTGATAAGAAGATAATAACAACTGAATCGGAGATAAGAGATTCCCTATTGTGGTTTAACGAGAAAAATAAAGAATTAATGAAATTGGTTGATCAATATAATATATTGAAAACAAAAGTATTACAGCTGTTTGATAACAGTAAAGAATAAAAAATAAGCCGTTTTAATAAGTTTTAGTTGTATTTTAGGATAGATGAAATTTTTGAAAAAAATTAACTTGACGTAAGCTAAATCTTGCACAATTTGAGCTTTTGGTGCACTGTATTAAAGATTTCAGAAAATATATGGGATAATTAAGGCAATAAAATCATTTTGTAAAACCTAAAGGGGAATAAATGATAAAAAAATATTAACTTCCTATAAAATGCTCAAATTCCATGGAATAGCATTCAAAATGAATCATGCAAAAATATAAAATTTTTTTTTTGATGCCATTATCATCTTTTTCTTACTATCACAGGTTAAATATGGGGTTGAAAGAGTGGTAACTTAGAGACAATTTAAATCGGTAAGAGCTTAAATTAATTTTTGCGGAACAAAATTCTAAAAAATAATTGGCGAATTGAGTAGGATATTCCAACAGCTCTGAAAAATAGTTCTTAGTTAAGAAAGTGAAGATTAAAAACATAGTTTAGAAACATATAATAAAATCAATTACAATGAAATTGATGAGTTCTGCATTGAGTAAATGTTATTTTGCTTGAGAAATTCAGGCATTGTACTTACAATATCTTGGTACATTTTGCTAAATCCGGTTCTGCCACCGAAATATGGGTCATGAATACCATGGGGAGGAGCATAAAGAAGAACTTGAGCCTTGGAATTAATGGGCTTCATTTGGATTAAAGTCTTGTAAATATTTTCGTCCAATGCGACAACGAAATCAAAAAGAAGCCAATCATCAGCTCTAATCTGACGAGCCCTATGCTGTGATATATCTACATTATGCTTTAAGCAGATTGCCTGCGTTCTTTCATCAGGACTTTCGTTCCTATGATGTGATGAGATTGCGGCTGAATCGACCATAACTGATCCATTGGTAAGCTTCTGGCAAATAGCTTCACAAGCTGGGGATCTACATATGTTGCCTGTACAGACAAAGAGAACTGATTTGTTTTGCATAAATCAAAAATGAATTGTTATGCAAAACCTTCTCAATTTGTTTTGACCAGTCTTTTTCTCAAAATATTAAAAACCGTTTATTAGAATATTTGAAGGACAAACAATTCCAATCATTGATTTTGACTTCCAGAATTCATCAAAATTCTTAGAATTATATGCCACAATCAAAGATACTTCGATGAAAGTCGAATGTGGAGAGATTTACGAACATATCTCATTTGATCCTCTTTTAATTGGACAATCAACTCTTATTTTATCAGAGAATACAGCTAGATTACTCAATGGCCGCTTAATTCAAGTTGAAGGAGGAAATATCAAATTTGAAGACTCACAATACCTCTGTAATATAGTTTTTTCAGAAGGAAAGTCCAGTTCAATAGAGATACCAACGAGGTTGCACTTCAGTTCCATGAATATTCAGAGTCACTTGCTTAATATCAAGTCATCAGAGAATTCCTCACTTTCAATTGACAAATTAATCATCAGTGGTAGCTCAAATGTTTCGTTAGACCACAATCTACCAATTATTGGCCAGAATTTAGTTCTCTTTGGCCGAGCAAACTTAAATTGCGACAAAATCAGCTTAAACTCGTTCAGTTCCATAGAAACATCACTTGATCCCTCTTCCCTTCCAACATTTGTCACATCTCAGCTCAAGATATTCATTCCTGTTGGATTTGAGCAGACAGGCTTCATCAGATTCGACAAACTATCGTATTCCAGCCTGACTCTCTGTCTAAAGCACAACATTGTATCAGGAGAGACACGGTCCAGCTACGACAAGCTCGTGAACAAGTTCATTCCACTGATTTCATTCAAAGACCAACATAAAAGTAGCATTCTAATCGAAATCAGCGAAAGCAGAGATCCGTGGGAGGACACAACAACTCTCTTCATTTCAGAAAGAGTGTTATTCGATAAAAAGTGGATTGACGATAATTACGGTTTTGTAATTTTGACAAATCCATCAGACACATACAAAACATTTATTTACTCCAATTCTGCGATTTCATCTTCGTCCGAAACAGTTGTGAACAAGACGAACAAGTGGTACGACGAGCGGAACTACAACAAGTACACGAAGGGAGTCATGTTCATCGTTCACGACAATTTCTCTGATGACTCCATCGATCTCCAGAAAATTAAAAAATTTGGCCAAAAAATTTCACTTCACATCACAAAAAGTAACTATTTTGGAAGTGAAAACCATCCTTCTGTCAGTCTGAACATCGACAATATATCTGATGTCTGCGAATCACTAACTTTGGAAAGTGTCAATATTAAGTTTTTGTCTGAAATAGAAAATAAGGTTAAATTGAAAGGTTTACAGCTCTCAAATCTGTCACATTCGAAAGCAGTGATTTTGTCATTGAAAGCGATTTGATTACTCTCCAAGATGACATTTTGCCACATTACAAATTACAAAAAGGTGACAAATTAATAGTTATTCCATCATCATCCTACTGCAGGATGGACTTCGGGGAGAGCGGCTGGAATCTGTACAACAGGGACTTAAACGAAACATTCGAAGTTGCAAACGACGTTGACTTCACTCTGAAGCTCCCGAAGAGCTTCTACAGACTGGATTTGACAGTGGACGATGCTGTTTCAAAGATAAACGCAATGAAACTGTTATTCGAGGGATTTTCGTCACTTTTCATTCAAAAAGAATTTGAGAAGTTTACAAATTCACCTTCCATTGAGATTTTCTCACAATCCGATTCACTCCAAGTCAATTTGAACGGCAGCTATGTTCCGATTGTCTTCAGATCTCCGACAACTTACAAATTCGGAATCGGAACAAAGTCTCTCAAAACAAAATTGCCAAAAAATGTTTTTAATGGCGAAAAAGTGACATTTGAATTAGTTGATGAAAACATTGTTGATGAGATCAGATTCACTGCATTCGTCAACACAAACAAAGATTTCTTCATGAAGACATCGAAGAAAATAGTTTTCGACCAAATTTGGTGTCAAACAGAATTTTTTGCCAATTTTGCCAATGTAAACTGTCAGAAATTAGTTATTGACAACACCAAACATGTCAGCCTTCTAGACACAAAGGTTGACAGCCTGAATGTGAAAGGAGACATTGGAAAAGAAGTTTTCCCCTCTTTGATTTTAACTGAAAGTGAAGTGAAATCTGTTCACATTGATATTACTCAGTTTACTGTTTCCAGGATATTCCAGATGTCGTATCAGCTGATAAATGTTTTGTCTGGCTTTGATATTTCGTCTTTAGCAGGAAAGGTAACATTTTCCACGCCAACTGTTACTATCAACGGAATTGTCAAATATCTTGGCCTGATTTTCTCTAAACAGTCTCTGTTTGTTGTGCTGAAGAACAGCCAAAGTCCGACATCTTCTTCGCCATCATCTCCGACAATAATTTATACCCCAACAAGTCAGAGAACTCCATCAAAACAAAAAGGCGGAAATTTGGCATTTGTTATAATTATTTGTGGATCATTCTTAGTTATCTTCATGATCACTGCTTTGTGCTACTTCTACTACTGCAAGAGGACGAAGAAGTCTGTCTACGAAGGGTCTGAACTGCAGTCAGTTGAAGATTACATGTTGAAGGACGATGTATCAATAAATGTATAAAAAAAATTTTTTTTTGTCATGAATATTAAAAAAAAAATATTATTTTAAGCTCCAGCGAATTTGTACTTAATTTCTACATCAGCTGTTACTAAAGTGAACAATTCTTCGATTAACTCTTCAGCGCGGTGGAGAGCCTTGTTAAGAACTGCGTCAGACCATTCCTGCAACATTTGTGTTGCCTTTTCTGGCGATTCCTTATGAAGGCGAAGGAACTCAGCCTCCATTTCTACCTGTTTCTTGTCATTCTCATCCTCCAACTCTTTATAAGCCTTCTTGATGATTGGAGCGTATTTATTGTAATCGAGCATTCCGAGGGTCATTACTTTGCGGAATGTCCAGTAAGCGGATCCCTGTGTAGAGTGCTTCAATCCTTCGGAGTATTGAGGTGGATATGACTTGACTCCCTGGTACAACGGCAAGTAGATGGAGAGATCGGCGAATCCCATGGCCATGTAGTCCAAGCAGCCAATTTCGATTGGTAAATTAGGTCTGATCTGCAAAATGTGAGTATTGATTGTTCTGAAGATAGAAACTGGCCTGTATGGCTCCTTAAGATTCTCATGTAAGTATGGATCGTGTTCTGTTCCATCATAATGGGATCTCATCGCAATCCTCATGTCGTCAACCGAAATCGGCTTATCTGCCTTCTGGAAGATTGGGAACTTGTTTGAATTTACGTCAGTTTCGACAGAAGGAGTGAAGAACTTCTGTAAATACCAAACTCTTGGGTAATTGTAAGTCTTATCTTTTTGGGACTCCAATGAATAGGATTCGTGGAAATCGAATGGACTGTTTGTTGGTGCATGGATTCCTTTCTCCATGGCCCATGGAATTAAGTCCTTTGAGGCAATAAAGTTCTCTTTGTCGTTTGGATCGAAAACTCTGTATCTGCTTTGATTTCCGCTGACGTAATAGACATCGTCTGGGATCTTGCAGGCTAAGTAACGATGTCCGCCGGCATTTTCAAGATACCAAATTTCTTTGGAATCCATGAAAGCAATGCCGAAGCCTTCTGCGCTGCCATGCTCTTCAATAAGTGCTCCCAATCTCTCAACACCTTCTCTGGCTGTTTTAACATATGGAATTGTGATTTGGAAAACACAATTTTCGCCAATTCCGGATTCAACGTATGGATCATGCTTTAATACTTCTGCACTTGAGAAAATTGTTTCTGTAGCACTCATGCTAACACCAAGACTGTTGAAACCGGCTTCGCCCCAGTGATATGGTAATTCTGCTCTTTCTAAAGCACTGAAACCAAGTCTTTTTGGTGGAAGTTTGCAACGGAATGGGCTGTCAATGGCGACGAATTCTTCTGGTCCATGATCTGTTTCTGGATAATACATTAATTTTGTCGCTTTATACGAGGAAGAATCATCCGAACGAGTGTACATCATAGATCCATCAGCACTCATTTTGCTTCCAACAATGATAGTTGTGCATGCTTCACTATCCATGTGTGGGATAATTTAGAAAGTAAATTGAATCACCTTGACAATTTACATGTCAAAAACATTTTCTGTAGGTGATAGCTAGGAACTCAATTGTTTTAGATTGCCAGATCACTTGTCAAGCAATACAAACTCCTATGGAAATAGGTTGTTGAATTATATGCTTGTTTTAACATCATTCAGAATCTAATTTTCTAAATTAACCAAGAAATTCGAAAAACATACATATGCTTCCAACGCACAAGATACTTGTTTATAATTGGTGAGTTTACATTAAGATTGCATCACTATTTCAACAGAATATGATGCAATATCCTCAAAAAGTTTGGGTAAAAACGAAATTTCCAGGTATTTTTGAATTAACACTTTTCTCGTTTTTCTTTGTACAACTACATATAAAATATACACAAATAAGGATTTATAATTAAAAATATTTTCCGAATTGAGTAAATAAATTGTTAGTTCTTAGATTTTATTAATTATTTCTTTTTACAATGAGATTGTGGTAATAAGAGCTGTGTATTATAGTTAGAGTATTGTTTAATTGTGCGAAATTTTGATAAGTTTCAAAAACGATTTATAGAATGTTCAAATATACTAAAATTTATTAACATGTGATACCATTGACTGTAAACAATCGACATTAAGTGATTGATGCAAATCGATATCAATATTTAAAATTTTCGAGGCTTTTTCGATTGAAAGCAATTGTTTTGGACACCTTAAGGATGTCAATTCGGAAAATTGTTTTCATTTTAGGAGAATATAATTTTCCTTTTCGAAAATTTAAAAAGTGAGACGCGCAGGATTCGAACTTTTTTAAAAGTTGATTTAAATATATTCTAGTGTGGATTCTAAGGATAATGTCATATTTAAAATAATAATATACTAGTTTAGGTGGTATAATTTTTTTCGATAAATTTGAGAGCATGTACGTTTAGGGCATCAAAAGTGTCAATTCGCTCGGCGAAAGCTGAGCTAGCTTCGTTCTCGAAAGAATAGGGAAGGAGTGAAAGAGAGTGATACAGATGTTGACACATTCATATCATTTCAACAAATTTTGATCAAATTGAAATGCAATGAAATTCAATTCACTTCATATCCTTCAGTCAGTACATTGACATCCTTCTACATCACAATGATAACTCGTACATCAATAGTTCTACAACTGACTCAGAAAAAACAAGATTTTTACTTCCAGCTTACAGCTTTTAAAAATTTTCGATGATAAAAATCACTCTACTCTTGTTTATCGATATGTTGTGATAGTAGGTAAACGTATTCTTATCGATATTAATAAAAATATTTTTACGAAAATCTGAACCAATTAGAGAGTTATTCATAAAGTTTATGATAACTGTAATTACTTCATCTTTGTTTTATATTTGAATAAACAATTTAATTTAATTTGCATAATTTTTTTTAGTTGAAAGACAGGAAACTTAGTTGAGTTTGTATTATTTTTATCGTTCAATTCATTGTATATGTGAGTGATCCAGATATTTAAGATATTTAGAAAAAATTTATTAACCTGATTAACAAATTTTAATCAAAATAGCAAAAATCTATTTGATAGCTGTAAGCAAATAATAATTTCTATTTCAACCAAAATCACTTATTTTCATCTAAACGTATAAAATTGTCAATTTTATGAGAATAAATTTAAAATCTCATGAAATATAAAGGAGAGTAATATTTTTCAATTTTCTTTTTTTCTTTTCTCAAATATTTTCTATTGGGAATTTTCTTGTTATCAAAAAATAATTGTAATATTTGTTTATTTCATTACATACAATAAAATTTTAAAAACTCTATTTCTTCACAAGAAAATTTCTTCCTTCATATGAAGAAACATTTTGTTCTCCATTTGATGCTGAGTCTAAATCTCGATTTTTGAATTTTCTTCTTTCCAAATTTCTTTTTTCCAAATTAGAAGTTTAATTCAAAATTTCAATAGTTTATATATTTTCTCAAACCGTCTTAGATTTTCTCACTTTTTAGGGATTTTCTCTCAAAATATACAAAAATAGTAATACTGTTGCATGCTAAGTTCGGTCAACGATAGAAATTGAGTGGAAATTAATCGTCGAGGAAGTACGATTATGTAAAGTAAAAAAATGTTGTGGGATTTTTAATATTATATATTATTTTATAATAAAAATTTTTTGAGTCATTTTAAGAAGCACATATAATTTTTTGAATTTAAAAATTAAAGTAGTGTCAAACAAATTTATCACTTAATTTAATACTCAGATTTCTTAAAATTAATGAAAAAAAGGTTTTCTGAGAACTTTTGAGAATGGTTTTCAAATTCCATTATTGAAAATATATAGGTATTGTATGAAATTCAAACTCTATATTTATTAAAATTCTAAATTTTTAATAAAATAACTTTTCAGAGGAATATGATTTTGAATGGTTGATTAATAAGTATAAAATGTCTACGATTTTAAGGAGGGAATTGTTCCTTATGAGGTATACATCATAACTATATACCTCATAAGGAACAATTCCCTCTTGATATCCTGGATATTTTTGAATATATTTTTTTAATTAAAGTTCTCAAAAGCATTATCAAAAGTGATTTTTAAAAAATATCTCCAATTAATTAACTAATTAAAAGTATTATATTTTTAAAATTAAATAGTTTTTCAATTTTTTTGAAGGAATTGAGATACTTCCCACGACAATAAAATTGAGAGGTTTACATTATGACTGATCTTAGCATGCAATAATACCAATACATGTGTCTAATATACTTTAAAACCATCGTGATAAAATTCAAAAACGAAGAGTTCTTCTCTCCAAATTTTTTTCAAAATCAAAAAAATGAGATAAAAAAATACGTTTGGAAAATTCATTTTTAACATTTTAGGAATTTTCTCACTTTTCTTCCAAATTGACATCCTTAGACACCTGGAATGAAGTTATCCTTAGTGAATTTCTCAAAAAAAAATTCTAATTTAGAAAAAGCCTAAGGAATTTTCTAGAAAATGAAAACGTTTTTTTCGATTCTCAATTTTTTTGGAAAAAAGAGGTTATAATTTTTGGAAATTTAATAATTAGAGAGGAATAAAGCATTTTTATTATGTTCTAAATCGCTGATGCATTTTTATTTTTGTTATTCTATAATTTTTCTACTAAAATATGTCAATTATAAAGCAAAATCAAATCATTATTTTTGAATGATATAGAAAAGAAGCATATTTTCCAAAATTTTCAATCGGTCACAATTTACCATCAAATATAGTATAAAATTCTATATAGATTGCCAGCTATTGTTAGTAATATAAAAATATATCTTGTTCAAACTAAGGAATTGCTTCACATGTTTAGAAGCCATGGTAAAAATCCAGAAAATAATCAATAGCATCATGATTTTATTCATAGGAAGGTTAAAGATATATATTGTTATTCGCATTTCGATATTAAATCCGAATAAAATGTGTATTAAACTCATACAATTAGACTTCTCATCATAATCATGCTATCAGTTAGTGACTATTGCTACAGTACAAGCAACATTAGATCTGTATCTCATAATCAAACGAAAGTTAAGCTAAGATATTTGAGGTAATATCACCTGATAGTATGCATAATACTATATCAGAATGACTAGTTAATCTGTTGTTTCAAAATCGTTTAAATTTTGATATGCCAAAATAGTACTTTGGTTATCATTGGTAATACGTAAGGTTTCTACTGTTGTGATATTTCGAAAAAATGAAGGAATCAACTTTAATGCAAGATATTAGGAGTTGAACATCGAATAATTGGATTTTTGCAATATTAATATTCTTTAGTCCCTAGTATATCATTGCTTCATACTAATAACGTGGATCGATTCCTATTCGATGATCAGATAAAGCAAAAACAAGAAACTCAGGTGCCACTTTTTTGGTCTAAAAATGAGTTACCCCCTTTCATTTTTTTTTAGTTCAAAAATCCCGCCAAAAAATTTATTTGATTGAATGGAAAGAAATAGTCATACGGATGATATATATGCAAACTGCATAAGGAGCTATTTAACTGAAAATCGTGATCTAAGAGACCAAGTAAGGCGTGCTAATGATGAATTGATGGATCATAAAGATACAATTTCAATTATATCACAAAATCTGGCTAGTGAAAAGCAAAAGCACGATATAACAAAGAGTAAATGCCAAAAATTAGAGAATGATATATATTCACTTGAACAAACAAACAAAGGAATTGTTATTAGCGCTAACGAAAGGATCAATCTCTTGAACAATGAAGTTAAAAACTTGATGAACGAAAATAACAAGCTAAAAGATCAAATAAAGTTTTACCAAACTGATAATCAACAAAAAATTCAAGATATTAAGACATTAGAAATAAAATTAGATGAAAAGGACTCTACGATACGAATTTTATCAGAGCAGATACGAAGTTATAAATCTCAAATTGAAGATTTCCAAAGAAATGAAATTCTAAATCGTAATAAACTTACAGAATCACAAAATTTATACAACAATTATTATCAGAAATGCCAAAAACTACAGTTAGAATTAGACCGAACCACCAAAAACAACCAAGAAAACTCAATTATGGTTTCAAATCTTCAAATCCGTATATCTTCTTTAGAAAATGCCATGAAAAACAATAAAAGCCAAGAAACAATTATAATGGAAAAGAATTTAATCATAGATGATCTTCAGAATCAACTTCAAAAATCAAATTTGAAATGCCAAGCAATTACAGATGCTCTAGAACATTCTCAGGATAAATTACGTAATAGCATGTATACAGAACAAGAAGCTTCTACTCTAAAATCCGAAAATATCCAGCTTAAACAAAGAATTTCTAGACTTGAAGACCAAATCCGAAGATACGAAAGTGATCTCCTTGAGAAGAACCACCAGTATACAGAGTCACTTGTCAAACAAAGTCGGACCATCGACGCTCTCAGAAAACAACTTTCTGCTTCTATGACTTCTGCCGACTACGAAATGATGAAGAACGAAGCGTCTGAAGCAAGGAGACTCGCAAACTCACTTGGACAGGAGTACAACACAATCAGACAGACGTTTAATACAATTTCTAGTAAAGTTTCAAATTTGGAATCAACGATCAGAGCAACAGCTTCAGCGCCGACATCGCCATCGAAGAATAGTGTGTATGATAATGATTATAATGATGAAATTGACGACAATTTCAAGAGAAATCTGTTGTCAACGGATTATTTGTAAATTTGTTGTTGATATATTAAAGAAATGTTATTATTTGTGAAAATTTTTTACTTCGCTTTATGATTTAATATTTATTTCAAAGAATTAGAATCAATTTATTGAATTCATATATGCAAATTCAACTTTCATATTAGATTTCACAGCAGATGAGGTTTTTCTTAATACAAAGGTAATAACTCCGATTTATAAATCATTGAATGCTAGAAACACCATTATGCTTTTAATTCGAACAAATCGATTTCATGTGTATTTCAATGGCAATTTATTATTATAATTGACTTTGATTATTATTTTATTTGAAATGATTTTTTTATTATCTCTTCGCTACATTACATTCGAAACAGCGATAACAGCTCAAAAGGATGATTACGAGATAGTGTGCTGCAGATTTATAAATACAAATAATAAAGAAAGTGGTGGAGCAATTAGTGATACACGAATTGCATCGAAACTTTTCATAGAAGGCACAATTTTTGATAATTGTACATCAAATATGAATGGGGGAGCTATCTACTCAAACAATTATCAGTGCCAAGAAAAAAATACTTTCACGAATTGCTTAGCTTTTGGAGATGGCCACGTATCGTATACATTGTCGAATCAAGATTACATGTTAACATCAGAGTGTGTTGCAGTTTCATGTCCAAAGCAAACAAGAATTTCAGACGGAAGTACTTTTTATTTTCTTAGCTCTGACAACTATTTATCATTATGCAATATATCTAAATGCTCGTCAAAATCAAAATCAGGAGGTTTTTACCTCTCAACACCACGAAATACAATTATTGAATATTCAATCTTGGATAATTGCGAAGGGCAACACATATTTTATCAGTCGACAACTGCAGTACAATCAAAATTTAACTTTTCAATTATAATTAACAACTTAAAAATCAATTCAACTCTATTTTTCATCCAATCTCCATTAGTTGTCGAATCATCATACTTTTACAATAATATCAAACATATTTGCGGCAGCTATCTTACAGAAAGAGAAAAATTAACACTTAGAAATTGCTCAATTCCAAATTTAGATGAAATTCCAGATATTTTTACAAAAGTTGACTGCATCGAAGCTTCATATTCGATTATCAATGAAAGAACAATCGATTACATCTCATATTGTGCAACAAGTGAAGATAATTCAACAAATTCAACAACTCTACACTCGAGCTCAGTAGGAAAGGTTCTCATTCTCATTTATGCAGTGGCAGCCATCATCACTGCAGTTGTTATCCACCATTGCATCAAAAGAGCAAGAAGAAATCGCGGAATTGAGGATGAAATGAATTTGGAGATGATAAGAGACGGCGAAATTGTCATATTGGATGTGGATGAAAACCAAAACAAAGATCAAGATCAAAACAACTCTCCATTACCAGAAGAAAATTAATATTTTTTGTTTGATTATTTTATAGTTGTAAAATATTTCTGTTGTTAAGGGTGAACTTATGATCACTTACCACACTTTCTATTTTTTGATATCTTTGTAATATTGGCATATTTAAAAAAGGAAAAAAAATTTGGTTTGTTTTATATTAAAATTTACTTTACAAGTTAGTGGATGGCATATGCATCCTTAAATATTTAATAAAATACAGCAGTTTAATGAATAATTGTTGAATTTTCTAAAGTATTACATTTCATTTTTGCTCATGAGAAATTATTTCTGCTTTTTGGTCTTTAAAATATACAAGCATATCTTCAATTTTTTGTTTGTATTCATCTATCGTTTCTTTAAAATCATCAAAATCTTTCTTTGTTAATTCTTTCATGGGTTCTTCAAATATTTTATTTATTGCTTCCAAATCAAATATTCTTTTTATATCTTCATGGCATTGATTTAAATGTTCAATGATTGGATCAATACATTTTAATTGAACATTTTTGGAATTTTTATTAATTTCGGATTTTTGTTTCTCATAATTGTTAACAATTTCAACTATACTGTTGATTTTATCTTTAATCTTTGGTACAATTTGATTAATTAAATTGTAATGCACTTCGTTTTGTATGACATCTGTTTTTAAATATATCAAATGCTCTAAATCGTGAAAATCATTATATTTCTGTTGTAAAATTAATTTGTTTGCTAAATCAAAGTAATTGTTTGCAATGTCAATTGAAATCTTTTGATGGATGGGGTTATTTTTATCGAAGGTCAATGTTGCCAGTCCTTTGCTCCTTAGGAATCGAATTGTTTTGAACAGATTTCTATGGAATGATATGTGAACCAGAGTTAGACCATAGTTATTTTCATGGAGTATATATTCATTGGAATATTTCTTTAAGAATAAATTAAGAATCTTTTTGCCTCCGTGTGAATTTGATAAAGCTGCATAAAAAGCTGCATTATTACCATATTTGTCAGTAATTTGATGAATGTATTTATTAATATGCTTAAAATATTTTGCAATTTTATACTGGCCTTTTAAACAAGCAAAGTGAAAGAAATTAATTCCGTCTTCCGTTGGAGTAGATATATGATACGTAAGGTCTGGAATATACTTGATGGTATCTAAATCTCCTTCCTTGATAAGACTTTTTAAATCAACTTCAAATTTAGGGGAATCGAACATTTTATAATTTTATGCAAAAAATCGAAATAAAATAAAAATGTCGATTTTACTTATTTTTATTAATTTCTATTATCAATTATTTTTACTACAAATTATATATTTTTCGATTTTGCATTTTTGCGGTTTGGAATTTTGGGAAGGCTACCGAAGAGAGCCTCAAGAAATTCCAAACCGCAAAAAAGCTGAATATCATTTTAGCATAGAATTGAATGCAGATAAAAATTCAAATGTTTATGTAAAATTTTTTTTTTGCCGGCAATACTATTTCCAAATTTTTATTATGGATGAGTTCCCCAAAAAAGTGCTATTCACTAGTATATGATTATTTTTGCTTCTAATTCATAACAACAGTGAATCAAAAATAATCTTTTGCAAGAGAAATTTAATTTAATGGACATAACAAAATATCAAAAAACATAAAATAGATATTATGCTTTTTATATACTTTCATTAGATCTTTAACCACAATTGAAGGCTTAATAATTTCAATCGAAAAAGATTGTTGCTGAGAAAGCCTTTTCATTTCATTCATTGCAATTATATTGATTCTATAACAACCAGGAGTAAATTTACTATCTAACTGAAGATGGATAATAATATCTTCTGGAGAAGATGATTTTATGGAATAATTTGATAAAAATTTTGATTCTGATGAATTTACAGTATAATAAAAAGATATAATGCTTCCACCATCAATGTTTGTAATGTTAACTTCAATAGGAATGAATTTTTGTTGAGTTTTATCTATCTTATTTTGTGGCTTTCTATTAAGTTTTAATATAGGATCATTGTCTTTATATAAAAATTGAAATGTTGATGGGAATGATGGCTTGTTAGTTTCATCCAGTCCAATAATTGTGATGTTGTGAGATCCTTCACTAATTTTAGATGAAAATTGATTAGAAATATTAATATTTATGTCTTCTATTCGATGTGGATTGCAATCAATGATATTATTCTTATCGATTTCACGGCATTGTTTAATGAGCGTTTCTTTACTAGTAAATGAAGAAAAATATGTGTCGAAACATGAGAAAAATGTGATGTCTCCTTCACAATCAGAATCGTAAAATTCTAATGATACATCTAATATGCTATCTATATTATGCCTGTATTCTGTTTTCAATGGGAAATCTACCAACAAAATTGGAAAATTTTTATCATATGAAAAACTTTTGATTATCTGTTGAAATTTGGATCTGTCTGACGAATTCACATAAGCTGTCAGATAATGTTGACCGATGTTTAATGTTTTGGGGATTTGAATTTCACAGCTGAAAATAAATGTCTGTTCTTCTTTGCTTGTTATTAAATACTGTGACTCTGGTGTTATTGCTTTAATTAACGCACTGTCAATATACAAATATATAGTAATATTATAATTTTCAAAATTTGCAGTTCCATTACCTTTAATTTTAATTTTATCATTACTGTTCTTTACATAATTCAATTTTTGAAGTTCATCAATGTCTAATTTTAAGTCAGCTCGTAAGACAAAAGTATCATTAACTTCATTGCTTTCAAATTCATATGAATCAATAATTTTACAATGAAGGGTATGCTTTCCAATAGGTTGCGAGTTTCGAATTTTATGATTAAATTCGAGTAAATTGGAATCTTCTTGGATATAGATTTTACTTTCTTCTTGTTCAACAATATTATCGTCAATCCATGAAATTATTGTAACATATTGCGTTTTAAAATTATAAAGCATAGATATTTTTGAATGAATTATTGTATTATCATTTTTGGTAACAATCTTGCTAATTATATCTAGATAAGTCAAATAAATAGATGCTTTGTATATTGAATAACAATTATATGTTTCAATATGCCCAATTTTAAGGTCAAATGATTCACTCGATATACTAGTATCAGTATTGCAATTTAAAACAACAATTTCACCACCATAACAAGTATCAAATATGAAATTATATAGGTTATTAATAATGATGCAATCTTTTATTGTTAAATATGTTTCATCAGAAGCATCAATTAAACCATTATCAAAATCCATCATTATAAAATATATATTATTATTAAAAACCAAATGATGCAATAATCCAACGAAAGAACTATGTGAAACAATATATCTACAGCATGTCAGGTTCTCAAATGTAGAAAATGAAATAATAGAATTGTTATTATTGAAACTGTGACGCATCTCATAAGCGAATCGGTAATCTGTCCTATATAACAAAGCCTTTGTGAAATTACAGTTTTTAACAGTGGACTCGGCCCCTTCTTCATATATTGCAGGTCCTTCATCACTTATTTCGCTGATTGATGTATCTTTAAGGATGTATTTGTAATCACCTTGATAAGGTCCCCATTTTGTCGTAAAAATTGATGAAGAACTGTAGTGTGAAATCAAAGGTTTCACAACACAAATTCTATATTCGACCAATGTATTTCCATATTGGAAGACGAGGCCACTCCCACTAGTACAATTTATGGAATCGAAGGCTGCACAATAAATAAAGAGTTTGTTATCATCATTTTTATCCATAAAGATTACTTGAGATTTTAGATTTTTAAAAATCACATCATGAACAAAGTAATTTCCAGTTTTATTATATATAATATCATCTGTATCGTGATTGATAAATGTTTTATTTTCTTTGAAAAACTCGTCCCAAATATCGTTTGGATATTGAAAATGAACTACTCCAGGTCTAAATCTCAGACAATATATATTAGAGTTCGTTTAATTGGATTAATACAAAAATGTACTGATATATAATATAAACTTGTCAAATAGAATGCTTGAATAAAGAATTTCTGAAACAGAAGCAGTTGGAATAAAAAAATTATTTCTTTTAGCATTAACATATTACCACGCTTATTGCCCAATGGTACATGTCAGCCGATTTCAATATAAAAACCATGAATCAATGAATCATATTTAGATCAAAAGTGCCAGAATTGTAATTTTCAATTAATTGAAATTTGAGATCTAAACAATTTTTTCAGAGAGATAATTTCAAATTTTTTTCTTGTTTATCCGATCAACGATTTCAATGATTTCATTGCTATTAAAATTACATGCATCTTCAAATGCTTATCAGTCAGTTATTGGATATAATACTGTTGAAGTAACAAACCAGGAAGAAATAATAATCAACATCGAAGAAGATACAACAGATTCGGATATTTACTTGATATTTCATAATCCAAGCTATTTTTACACAGATTCTAATAAGGGTTTCGTTTTGCGAAAAAAAACGTACAATACGCAATTTCGCTAAAAAAACATTTAGCTAGCAATTTCGACCTTTGACTCCACTCATGACGTCACTTTTTTAATTTTGCGGTATCATATTTTTGGAAAATCTTTATGAATATTATATAAAAAGTCTCTTTAATATCTATATTTCATATTTTTATCGATTTTTAAAGTTTTTGCGAAAAGTATTCAATTATTTTTGCTATTTGGTCGGGTAAATATCAGATTTGCGACATTTTCTGATATGATATTCAGATTCTACGTTGATAATAATGCTTATAGAACCCTCTTGCTATTGTGTCAAAATTGCGAAACCGATAGCAAAAATATCTCGCAATATCAAAATTGAGATATTGAGTGAATTATGCATTATAGAGATTAAAAATCTGATTTGTGAAAACATCTCATCAGTTTCTAGCTAATTCAAAAATCTTTACTATCTTATTCGATTAAAATGAAAAGGAAATAGTTTCATTATGCTTTAAATGACAGCCTTATAATATAATCATAGTTTTCGCTCAATATGCAGCATTTTTTTTTTTCGAAATCTATGGTCAATATCCTAAATACTGATTGCTTTGCATTCATATCTCTTACATTTTCTATACCCACATCACTATTCATTGCTATTCCTATCTTTTTCATTTTTGTTTGTTTCTCATAATTTCTCAAAAAACATGATAACTTGATATTTGTAAATATCATACTTTATAACGTAAATAAGAACTTGACCTATTAAGAAAAGCAGTAATGAAAAGAAAATCTGAAATTCATAAAAATTACAAGTTTCTGATGACAATTAGCTTAATTAAACCAGGTACAAGATTATATAATTGTATTTTCTATCCAATTATCCATATAATATCTTATCCAGAAAAAATAACTTGATCAATAGCAAATGATTTTTTAACTAGTAAATAAAGTATTTTCTTTACACACACATTGTATATCATAGTTTTTTTTTTTTTTTTTGGTTTCGCAAAACATCCAAAAACAAATATGCTATAAAAGTGACAATTTTAGCAAAACGAAACCCTTAATTCTAATCATGATCTTTATGAAATTTATAAAAATATTAAATCAATCTCAGTTATTTCACGAAAATCCACAGAAACACTCAAATTTCATACAATAAAAATACTTAACAATGAATTTTCTGATGTACAATTCATCGTAAATTACAATCCAGGGCCAATTTATAAATTAACCCAATATAAATTAAAAGACAACTCAAAATACTGTATAATAATAGCAAGTGTTATACAGCTTAATTATAATTTCCATATTAATGATCGCTCAGAAAACGAAATTATTCAATATTCGATCAATGATGGAAATTTTTCTCAAATTCAAGATGATGAGTTCATAATCTTAGGTTCTAATTCATATGCCAAAGTGATTATTCAAACAGCATATAATACTTCTCTTGATTTCGGAATAAATTACATCATGAGTAGTTTTCAGAACGATGGAAAGCGATATACATACGGTCCATTTCATGTATCTGGCCAGTCACCCATGTTTTTCAACTCATTACAAGGCGATTCCCAAAAACAATTTAATTCCGAAAATTACAACAACGATTTGACACCAGGATCGTATAACATTGAACTTTCCAACGAATACAGAGAATTTATAGCCCATAAAAATACATTTGTTGTCTTTTCTTAGACTTCTCAGTCTTCATTTCATGGACAAGTGGTAAACAAGACAGGAACAACCAATCTGTTTACCAGTTTCTATGGAGGGAGGGTAATACGGTTTCAATCTGATGCTACAATCAAGTTGAAATCAAATTATTTTCCTTTGCTCACTGTAACTGTATTTAACACGGCCCATCATCCATACTGTGATTTCCAAGCCGCAGATATTGGCATGAATTCGTTGATTATTGGATCAAACATACAAAATTCCAATATGACACTGTACACAGCAAGGACAAGCTGCATTTTCTATGCTTACCCTTACAAAGGAATCAATGCAAGCGAAATCAAAGAAGGATTAAAACAATTTATTCAATACTTTGATACAAATGGAGATGAAACAGAAAACTTGCAGCAACCAGTTGTAGGAATAATTAATGATATGGATAAATCATGGAATGGCATCAGAATCGGAATAAGTTACTCTTTTTTCAATTCTGAAAATTATTTAAACGGAATCGTCGCAACAAGCCTCAATCCATTCATTGTATTAATAGGAAAATACAAAAGAGATAGAACAATTGAAATTGTCGTTCCAACTGTTGTTGTTGGCGCAATCGTTATTGTAACAATCATTGTTATTGTTGTAAATTGGAAGAAGATTAAGAGAGAGTGCTGCGGTGCTCCATTTGATGATGAGGATGCAATGAATATTTAATTTTCGATTTGTTGTTATTGTTTGAAATAAATATAATGGAAGTAAAAAATGTATTTAATTGAGTATAATTGTTTCATCAATGGTAAATGAATTGAACATCAACCATATCAAAATTTATGTTATATTCATATAATCTAAGATAATTGTAAAGCTTTCCTAGCTCAATAGGATAGAGCTTTGGACTTTTAATCCAAGGGTTTGGGGTTCGAGTCCCCAGGATAGCGTTTTTTATTTTTATGGTCATATTTTTTTTGGGAAGAAAAATGATTTATTTATTTTTATCATATAAAGAGAAAAGTATGAAAGAATTTGCTCGTAATAAATATATTTTAGAATTCAATATATCCTGGATCTGGGAAATGGCATCCGTACAAAACAAGATGGTTCTCCTTGGCATACTGAATGAATTGTTTTCTTTTTGCAACAGAGTTTGTCGGATTTGCGTCGTAACTTGCACAAAATTCAGGGTGATTCTTCTGAAGTGCCACGCCATGAAGGAGGTCAGCGCAGAAAAGGGCGCCACCAATCTCATAAAGTGTTTGGCCGGGAGTATGACCGCTGCAATCTAATGTTTTGACGCCTCCAGGAAGGACATCTCCATAATTGAAGAAATGAATCTGATCTTTATATGCTTCTGTTGTTTTAACAGATTGGGCCTTCTTTTCTTCTGGATAATTCATCCAACCATCGTATTCTGCCTTGCAAATGTAAAGGGTGGCATTCTTAAAAACACGTTCACCATTTCTCATAAGTCCACCTATATGATCTCCGTGGAAATGAGTAATGTAGATGTATTTGATGTCATCTGGAGTGTAATTTAATTGTTTCAGCTTTGGAATAAGAAGACTATCTGGGACTCCCAATCCAGTGTCGATTAAAATTGTAATGTCGCTAAGCTCTACTAAAAATGCGCTAAATGAAGACTGAATTCCATTTTCAATATGACATTCTTTGATAATTTCTTCTGGAACATCTTTAAACAGCGATAATGGAAGTATTCTCTCGGTTGCATTATCACCAATCCATGTAACTTTCATGTTTCCAAACTGGCGCGTATTCATTTTCAGCACGAAAGGAAAAATGAAAGAAGATCTCAATCAAATTCAATCAGTTTTTCATCAAACAGTTATTCAAAGTGTGACAAATCGAATTTTATTTAACTCAAAATTTCTTTATTCTTTATATTGGATATCTCTTCATTAAATTATGTGCAGAACATAGAAACAATATTAGCTTACGATGAGCTAACTCTTACAAATTGTTCGCATTTTCAATGAAAATTCGAATAATTGAATAAGTAACTGAAAATAAGAATGCATTCATGAAATGATTTACAATCTTCTGTACAAACTCTTTGCAAACAATTAAATAAATTTCAAATATGGTATTTATAGCGGAAGGTATATATTCATACAACTTCATCGAGAAATGCACAATGTGTTGTTTAATTTAATTAGTTTATCATCAAACAAAAAAGAATAATAATTTTTTAAAGTTCGATTTATATTAATAACAAAACAATATGTATATAAAATCTATTGATTAGTTTGGCTTTGCTGATTTTGAAGCTCAGAAGAGTTCCGTTTATGGGAAGGTGGTGAAATGTAATAAGTTATTTGTTTTCCTTTTCCTTTGAGGAATGTTTCACCACGTTTTGTAATATCATAATTAAGCCCTTTCACTAGTTCAAATGTGTCCCCGCTGATATGGACTTTATTTACGTCAGATGTCGACTGCAACCTAGCAGCAACGTTAATTGGGTCACCAATGATATCGAATAACGGCTTATCTGTTCCTAAGACGCCTGCAATCAGTGGTCCTCCAGTGTTGATTCCTATTCTTATTTGCAAATTTGAATCTAATTTCTTATTAATTTCTTCTAAATGGTACAAAACATCGAAGCAGAACAAAATCATTTGCTCTGCATGAACTTCAGGACCTACATCATTATTGAAAATACCACCTGCTGCCATGTAAATGTCGCCAATTAATTTAATTTTGATCAATAATGGATATTCTTTTAGAGTTTGGTCAAGAACTGAAAAGTAATAAGACAAATTGCTCATAATGTTGTTTGGCGTCAAGTTTGTTGTATATTCGGAGAATTTATTGATATCAATGAAGCAAATTGTTGCACTATTGACATTGAATGATATCTCTTTGATGTTTTTATTGATTTGGAGTACAATATCTCTTGGTAAAATCTGATATAATAAGTTCTCAGATTTCATCTTTTCATTTTCTGCTTGTCTCTTTTGCTCCTCTAGTTTAGTTGTGTCTTTTAGAATGAAAACAAATGAATTCAAGTTGTCATTATACGAATTTTTCATTCCGATAATTGAACATTTTACGTTCAGAGATTTCGATGCATTATTAACCACAACATAATCATCTTCGTACAAAAATGATGATGTCTGGTGATTCTTCATCTGATCCAGTTTCATTCCGATCTTTTCAATGCAATCAGAACTGAATAAAGATGTCACAACTTGGCCGAGAATTTGTTCTCTGGTGAAGCCGAGTAAATTAGTCACTGCCTGATTTACTTGTTCAACAACTCCATAAATGTTTGTACATATGATGGAATCATTTGCATTTGTAATAATTAGCTGTTCCAAAGACATTTTCTGGCCATTAATAGTATCAAATTCTTCATCATTTTTCAGGAAAAATTGATTGAAATAGATATTGTTCAAGAGAGTATAAGGATTGATTCTTTTGATAATGAAGAGTGCAGCTTTGTACGAATTGAATCGGTTGTTGTAATATGTGATGGAACTCATGATATAAGCAAGAATTCCGGCAAAAACTAAAACAGCCAAAATACCAAAATAGCTCTTCCATTCAACAATCTTATGGTCCATCAATTCAATGATTCTGTTACTTGCCAAATAGCAATTCCTAAACAAAAAGTAGTTTCCAATGAACAGGAAATTTGCTCCATCTTCTTGTGAATATGTTCCATTTGTCATCATTACATCTTCTAATATTATTTTTGCGTATGACTGGTAAATGTCCAATTGCTGATGAATAGCTGCGTACTGATAATACTCATGTGGAGAAGATGCATTCTTATTCATCTTTGCATCAATTATATTCAGCTCATCCAATTTTTTATCAAATCCTTGACATAATTTAGATCTATTTGTTCCACTTATCAAATTTGTTTCAGCCTCCTTGAGTTTAAGTATAAATAGCATGGCGAGTTGATAAAACTTCATTTTATCTTCATCTTTGTATGCAGTTGGGATTTCTTTAATTATCAAAACATTCATCATTGCATTTAATGATTCGGCACTGAGACTTAAACGACTTGCAGAAAATTGATTCCAGTCGTTCAATTTGTCCAAATCATCGGTAATATGCAAAACAATAAAGCATGCAATTAAAACAATCATTAAATAATAGATTGCCCACCCAGCTTGGAGTAAAATCAAGTAAACTCTTCCACCACTTTTTGCTGTTGTTTCCGTGATCAAAACTTCGTCATTGGAAGAATGAATTCTAAGATCTTCTTTACTTTCATTTCTTGCTTGTTGATCTATCGATTGAACAATTCTTTTGATCTTCTTTTCATCTTTCAATGTCAAAAAGTGTATTGTACAAATGGGTAAAAACACAATGAAAAATGTAATAATTGGAGCTGAATAGGAATAATATAGGAAAGCCTTTTTGATCTTTTCCGAATCTTCTCTAACAGATTCTGCTATATCTAGGTAAACTTTCGCAGTTCCTTGATAGAAATATACATAATTATTCGCCAAATCACAAGTATCATTGTCTTGACTGATTACAAGGAAATTCTTATAACTACTCAAAGTTCTATGAATTGTGAACATCAATGAATATAAGTTAGTCAAGGATCCATTGGAAACAGTGAAGTTTATGCATCTGTTGTAGTAGGTCCTTATTGGGACATTCTGTGACAATAAATTTCTAATGTATTTGTATACATTTCTTCTGTTATGCGCTTGTTCTGATAAATATTGCATAAGATCTGAAAAATATGAATTTGAAAGTTTGGAGAAATTGAGGAGATCCATTGGCAAATCTCCATGAATGAAATCAATGAAAGGATTCAACTCAACCGAAGTTGTATTTATATATACTTGGAGTTTCTGTGTGTAGTTCTTGAAGAAACCTGTTTGGTTGAAAAACTGTGTCATAATACAAACACTTGATAAAGCGATGTAGAATCTTGCCTTTGCAATAAAGTTCAATTCTTTCATGTTTTCAATATGGTTTGTTACAGTATTTCTAGCTAAAAATGTAGCTGCATTCGTTAGAAATAGTATATAAAATATCACACCAAATGCAACAAATTTGATCATCTTTATTGGCATAGTTATTTTGTGCTGTAGCATTCTGTGCAAACTCAATCTTTCTTTTGCAAATTTTATTGTCGATTTTCCAATTGCTTCTTCAATTTCGTTCTCTAATTCAACATCATCAGTATCGTTTTTGCTTTTTATCTTTGCATGATTTGATGAATTTGTATGAATTGTAGCAGAATTTACATTTTCTTGAAAACTATTATAATTTTGTGAATTTTTATCTGTAAAGTTGCCTGCAATGATTTTCCCATCAAAATCTATGATTTTATCGGTCAAATATTTCGGAAAAGCTTGGACAAATGATTTAAAGCAATGATCAGAAGAATAAGACTGCCCTGATTCAATCAATTGAGCTTTGTGTTTTATTTTGATTGCTTCGGGAAAATCGCATTCAACTTCAACTAAATACCTGAAGTATTCATCACACATTTTAATTGAATTTGGGAAATTAAGAAGCGCTTCTTTCCATAAATTCCTTGTCTTACTAGCCATAGTAGCCAAAGTTTCTAAGTAGCTTTGGTTTATGGTATTGCCATCCAAACCTAATCTTGATTGTGATTCACATTGTCCTGTCAAGTTTTTCATTTCCATCAATTTATTTCTCATTATCATATTATCTGTGAACTGTCTTTGTGTTTTGATTGATTCCAGTTGGAAAATTAAGAATCTTGAAATGAAGTTAAGTTTCCTTCTTTTCAATAATTTCTTTTCAAATTTGTTTTGTAGTCGGTGTTCTTTTGGAAAGAATGCTGAAAACAAAACACATAATTCATTTGATTTTTCACTGGAAAATCTTTCATGAATATAATTTAACAATGTTAAATTATAAAAACATGGGCAGCATTGTTGGAATCCTATTCTAAGGTATGTTTGAGCTTTATCTTCATCATCCTCTAGTCCTATTGAATCATAATAATCAAAATATTGTTCCTGATTTGCGAAAACGACATTTAGTTTTGAAACTATTTGATTTGTCCTTATTACAAAATAAATGTAAGAAATAACAAAGCCAAGCATAAAGAAACCAATAGTAATTAAAGGAGGCATTAAATAACTCAAATTTGGCTGAAAATAACAAATAACACTCATGATATTTCCTGCAGTGCAACCAAAAGCAAAACCCATGAGAGAAGACATAATGATAATGTCAACAATATATAGGTAATTGATCAAGTTGTACGCGATGAATGAACAGCATCCAAGGCAAAAAATTACTGTGACAAAAAATGACCAATTCTCAAAGAGGCTAAAAAGGAAATATGAAAGTACTGTGCAATGCGATGATAAAGTAACTGTTTGCATAAAGGTTGGGTTAAAGTTTAATAGTGGTGAAACATTAATGAAAAGTGACATTGCGTTAAAATGTTGAATTACGATGTAAAAGTATAAAATATATATTTCATTACCTAATGCTAGTACGAAAGAAATTATCACTGATACATTTTTGTTTCCTTTTGCAAGTAAAAGGAATGTTTCTCCTAAGACAACAACATTTGGTAACATGAACAGAAGTACGATTGCCTCAAAGTATAATCTCATAGGAAAATTAAGCCAAAGTATGAATTTACGGTTAAATTTGAAATAATTGATTTGTGAACGGATCATTGCAACTGATAAAAGATTTAATATCCCAAAAATGCCAGTAACTAACAAATAATCATTAAAAACTATAGGAACACGACGATAGTATAGAATTTGCCGCTGCCATTTTGAAAAATGAAAATTTACATCTTGCTGCCAGTATGGGTTCCATGGCCAAATTGATGCCCCAAGTACTTGAACAAAATATACCATCATTAGTGGATATAAAATGAAATAAGGTATCTTTGTTGTCTGGAAAATCTGAGTCCACATGGGGAAACCTTCATCCAAAAAGCCCCAAGTTGTAATAATTTTATACACTCTACTTACAGATCCAGCACTGACAGATTGGGAATTTGGATTGCTGGTCTGGCCTTCTGGGTTCATAATAAAGTCGATATAAAAATAACGAAAAAAATCATTCAATTTTTTCAAATTTGGAAAATAAAAACATGCATATATTAGTATCGTAGAAAAAGTATTATTCGATGATATTGAGAAAAAAAAGTATAAAGAATATTTTTGACACCGATAAAAAATAATCTGTACTAATAAGGGGCGGCGACAAATTTGCCCAGCCAGTAAAGTATTCAATTTTTTTTTGCATTTTTTTTAAAGCTTCTTAACTTAAATCATGGAATGTCTCAAAGACAAAAGTAGCATACAGCATGTAAAGCTAAAGAAAAATAATCATAATTAATACCTTAATTTTTAATATTACGCATTTTTAGGTGCAAAATTTAAAAACATTCTAATACAATAGAGCAGTTTCCAAAAGTAGCATACAGCATGTAAAGCTAAAGAAAGATAATCATAATTAATACCTTAATTTTTAATATTACGCATTTTTAGGTGCAAAATTTAAAAACATTCTAATACAATAGAGCAGTTTCCAAAAGTAGCATACAGCATGTAAAGCTAAAGAAAGATAATCATAATTAATACCTTAATTTTTAATATTACGCATTTTTAGGTGCAAAATTTAAAAACATTCTAATACAATAGAGCAGTTTCCAAAAGTAGCATACAGCATGTAAAGCTAAAGAAAGATAATCATAATTAATACCTTTAAAGTTTAAAATCTTGATTTTTTTTAAAATCAAATATTTATAACTTTAATACATACAGCTTAAACCTTATACTTGTTTTCTCTTGTGAGAAAGCAATCTTACAAAGCTAACAATCCTAAAAAATAAAGAATTAAAATTTAATAATTTAATCTAACAAAATTTCTCTCTTTATCCTTTTGCACTCTTTATATGCAACTCAAATCCATCATATAATATTCCTATAATACTCTTGCCTCAAACAATGACGAACAAACTGCTATTCTCATTTAATTACAGACCAAATCTATTCAAATTTCTGAATTTTTAATTTTCATTTCAATTTCAAATGGAATTAGAAGAAGAAACTATCTTTACTGTTATGGATCTTTGTAAATTTGGAGTTAAACAAGAAATACAAGCACAGTATGGATATGGTGAACGTGTCAGGAAAGAAAGATCTCAGATTTCATTCCACTGCAAATATCCAAAATGTCCTGCACATTTTAATGTTGCAATCTTGGATCAAAATAAATACAAACTAATCAAAATAGTTGAAGAACATGATCATTCCGCCCCAAATGACAAAAGTCAATATTCGTCTGTCTTTTATCGCAAATATTTAGAACATTACTTCCAAACAGATGACAATCAAAGAGCGATAGCACAGCTAAATGCATTCAAAGATCTTGAAATTCCTCTTACAGGTCCGTCCATTCCAGAGATGTACGCTCAAAAACCACGTGCAATCAAACGATTTGCAGAGAGAATACATGCTCTTCAAACTAGATATTCTCCTGACGATGTTGTGTCATTGCAAATCTTTGTTCAGACAGTACAAGAAGAATCTCCAGATGATCTCATTGCATTTGAAGTCTCAGACAATAATATGTGTTTCTATTACGCGCCTTTTGAAGGCAAAGCTTATGCGCATAGTATCAAGACATTTCATATAGACAGCACCTATAAATTGTTGCGATCAAACATTCCATTGTATGCATTTACTGGCAAAATCAAAGATTTTCACATTTTCCCTTTTTTATATTTCTTTTGTCAACCAGACACTTATCAAAACATTCAAGTTTGCGTGTGCGCCTATCTCAGATGGGTAACAATTGAGCCAGAATACATTAGCATGGACTGTGCTCCACAGATAGCTCAAGCAATAGAAGAAAGCATTCCACAAGCTCAAATACTTTGGTGCGGAGTACATGTTCTTCGTGCAATTCTTCGCAAATCAAATAAGTTTTCTTCTCAAGAAAAATTTGAACAATTCTATAATTTGATGAAGGATTTAGTCTTCAAATTAGATGCAGAACATGAGGAAGAAGCAAATGCTGCCTATGATCAAGTTCTGGAGTTGCTCGACACAGATCCAACAGCATCTCAATACTTTAACAGACAATGGCGTTACAACATATCAAGATGGATTGCTCGTGACAGGCGTGAAGGCGACGCAACTAACAATATTGCCGAAGCTCATTTTAGAACACTCAAACATGACTATTTTCCTGATCGAAAAAATCTCAGAATTGATGATGTTATTATAGAAATTTATACAAAAGTGATACCATCTTTCGTTATCAAACTCAAAATTGATCAAAATCCAGCAGATGACCGTGTCATTAAGATCATGGAAAAAGCAACTAACGCAGAAATTGATGTAAAAAGACAAAGAAAAATCGAGAGTATTTCAATGCTCAATAGATTGCTCAATGCTGTTAGTGATGACTCAATAGATCCCACTAAAATATATCCTACCTTGAAAGTATTATTACAAAGAACTCATTTTATTTAATTTTGATTTTAATTTTAGATTAAATTATTAAATTTTAATTCTTTATTTTTTAGGATTGTTAGCTTTGTAAGATTGCTTTCTCACAAGAGAAAACAAGTATAAGGTTTAAGCTGTATGTATTAAAGTTATAAATATTTGATTTTAAAAAAAAATCAAGATTTTAAACTTTAAAGGTATTAATTATGATTATCTTTCTTTAGCTTTACATGCTGTATGCTACTTTTGGAAACTGCTCTATTGTATTAGAATGTTTTTAAATTTTGCACCTAAAAATGCGTAATATTAAAAATTAAGGTATTAATTATGATTATCTTTCTTTAGCTTTACATGCTGTATGCTACTTTTGTCTTTGAGACATTCCATGATTTAAGTTAAGAAGCTTTAAAAAAAATGCAAAAAAAATTGAATACTTTACTGGCTGGGCAAATTTTTAGTATCGATAATCTGAAATATGTTGTTTACTTAAGCCGCTCGCTTCGCTCGCGGCTTAGTTTCGTAATTTCATACAATCTTTTTTCGAATTTGTTCTTTTTGTCAACCGCGAGCGAAGCGAGTGGCTTTTTATTTTTTAAAATTTTTTTCTTTCTTACTTTTTTTCCCTTACTTACAAATTTGATAGTAACTTACCAAATCTCTCTATCATATAATAATAAATTAATCCATTTTTTGTTTCAAATCTAACACTTTACATTTCTGACACGTAAACCTGTCACTTTTCACTTCACCTCACTGGGCAAGTTTGTACCCCCTCGAAATAATCAAACAATTAAAAACAATGAAGAATGATCAAAAATATTTTACAAAAAAAATTTATGCAAAATTTACAGTTAACCAAACATTCTTATTATTAAAGTTTTTTTAATGCCGGGGTATGGAAAATTCAATACTTTTGATTTCAGAGTAGATACCAAAAATTGAATAAAATATTCAACTTCTGAAGTTTTTAAAATTGAGGAGTGAATTTTTTTTCCCTCAGATATTGTATAGAACTTAAACATGGTTTTTATTTTAATAAATTTCTGATGTTTTATTTTCTTATCATTAGAGTAGATCTGACAATAGCAATATTCATCCTTTAGAAGATATCGAATTAAAAATTTATATTTAATAGTTAGAACGGCTCTATATCTCCCAGAGTTTTTTGAAAAAACCCAGAATATAAAAAATCATCAAGTATGGGTGGTAAAAACATATATCCATAAGGATTGACAATATACTAATGCATCTGTTATTTCGATACAGTCGATTTTTACATACAAACAAACAAAAAATAAATAAATAATAAAAATGGATTGGATTCTCAGTAAATTGCCTCAAAATAGCTCATTACAGTTATGCTCTTGATGAATCATCACTCTTTCTTCTCGCATTTAACTTGATCCTTTTTTCGATCAATTTGAAGATTTTTCTATCATCAACTGATCCAGCAGTGAATTTATTGAGATTAACATGAAGCTTTGGAAGGCTAGAAGAGATAATTTTCTTTGCTGTACCTTCTGATTTTCTAACTTGAAGAAAAGCTTTCTTTCGCTCATCAATGAAGTCAAGTAATTCTTGGCTCGAGTATCTCTCCTTCGGGTTGACGGATAAGCAATATTTAACCATAGTTCCGAAAAGGTCATCTGATGCGACGTTTGGTTGGATTTTTCCTTTTTGAATATCTCTGATATACTGAGATTCACTTTGGGAATCAAATGGATATGTGAAATATGCAAGTAAATGCATTGTGATTCCGAAACTCCAAATGTCTCCTTTTGTACCATCATAGTTATGAGCTGTTATGACTTCTGGAGGCATGAAATATGTGGTTCCACACATAGTCTCGAGACAATTTGAATTTTCTCTGGACATCCCGAAGTCTATGAGTTTTGGATGGAACTCGGAGTCAAAAAGAATATTTCCGGGTTTGATATCTCTATGGGCAATTCCGCGGCTATGAAGATAGTTTAAAGCCTGTAAAATTTCATAAGCAATGTTGAGTTGCTCGTCAAGTTTGAACCTGATCTTATTAATAATGAAGTACTCTAGGTTGCAGTTTTCAAGGTATTCCATTACGATCAATATTATATCTTCTTCATAAAAGACATCATAAACTTTAACAATGTTTGGATGGTCAAGTCTAGAGCATAAACGCAACTCAGATTCAAGATATTGAAGCATTCCGCATTTAACGATTGCTTCTCGGCTTATGATTTTTATAGCGTATTTTTGCTTAGTTTTCTTGTCAAGAGCTAAAACTACAACTGCAAATCCTCCTTTGCCTATTTTCCTGATTATCTTATATTTACCTATTTCGTCAGGAATACGTATATTAGGTACGGAGGAAATGCAGTTTAACATCTGAAATTTGTGGTTTTGAAATTTTTGAATGGAATAATTTTGTATGAGTTTCACAAATATTTGAAGTTACGTTCTTATTACTGTAAAATTATATTGACAATTGTTGCTTATTCGTTAATGGTTAAAATTTTTACAATATATTTTTCAGAAAACGACGAAATATTGAAAAATTAATATATTATTTTAAGTTATTATTTTAATGTATACATATAAATAAACATATATATGCGGTGATTAAAATGTTCGGGTTTATTTATTCAATGAGAGATGAAAATTGAATCGAACACAAGGAATTTTATAGCAGATTTTGCTAATTATTATTTGAAAACTAATTCTAAATATATCATATCTATTTTGATTTGAAACACAGCGTTTTAAATTTTGTGAAGGAATATGCCGATATTTATTCATTTCTAATATATAAAATAAATTAATTATTTTGCTATACGTTGATTATTGATTTAGCATGTAACAATCAAAAAATGGGCTTCAAATATTTCAATAGTGTAATCAATACAATCAAAAATATATTTTCAATTTACATTTCAATATGAAAACATAAACTTTAACTATTTAAGAAAATCATTGATCAAATTAACTATTTGATACTACCTCGAATTTTTTTTTCATTTAACGATCAAAACAAATACAAAAGAAGCAAAATTCCCTCCATTTATCATGAAGTCATATAGATATGATTCTCATATAATGGTAAAGGAACATAATATGACGTTTTATAATATATTCCTTATTAGTGAGACTGATTTACCCTAAAGTTTTTGTTATTGGAATCTGACACGCCCGTAAATTTTTATAAAAGCTCATTAATACAGCTCCCTGATTGGAGACATTCTTTGTGACATATACCATATACTTATGTAGGCACTAGAGAATCTACCATATGATTTTAGTAGTCTACTAATGACATTCATAGTGCAATTAGACGAAATTTATTTTGCTTGTAAAACCACACTACATGAAGATCCAAACCCATTATTATAACATTATATTACTGGTACATAGTAGTATATATTGCTGAGGTTGAAATCTAAATCTAAAAAGTTATCAAGATATCAAACTAATGTAATTGGCCTAGTCTATTCAATTACAGATATATTAATATATATGATCCGGTGAATTGATTTATACATAATGACATGATATATAAAAAAATTATAATATTTTAAAATTAGAGTTAAAATTTTACATATCTACATGCAAATGGCTAGAAATGTTATGCATATATCAATCTCGGTTGTGATTTTACTATATAGGAAAATATGTCGGAGTAATGATTCAAACTTTCAAAGTAATGCTTTATTTGAACAATATGAATTGAAATTCATTTTGATAAGTCAGGCTATGAATGATAATAATATAATAACAGTTTAAAAAAGATAATATTATAAATTTTGAAAAGATTGATATTTTTTATTTAATTTGGAATATTCTTAATTCCAATTGATGTAGAATGTGGTATCATGTCAATTTTTGAAATTCGGCTAATTTTGGAAAGACATTTTGAATTGGGTATCAATTGTTAAAATTAAGCTTGGTTATTAATGTAAGTCAAATGCAAAATAAGGGAGAAGACAATATTTGTAATTAAATGTAACAAATTCACAATTTGAAGAATATCAATATAATTTGAAAAAATTGTTAATTTCATAGGCAACAAGATATCTATTGACACTGCATATAATTGTGAATATATTGTTCATTTCAAAATTGATAGAGATTTAAAAACTACATGCGTAAAATGAAAACTGATGATAAATGATATAAACTAATATGATTTTATAACATTGAGTGTTTTGATAAACTAAATAGATGTAGAATTCAATAATTATTGAAAATATTAAGATTTTTAAAGATAAATACAAATCATATGGTAAATTTGTGCTTAAGGGATTTGTGAATAAGGTATATTGTTTATGTACTAATTATATGTATGGACAGGCAAGAAAATAAAGAGATTGTATAAGGAGAATGTGATTGCAAAAGTTTGACCGACAAGAGTGTAATATGCACTCCTGTCGGTCACAATGTGTCATTCGGGAGACATTGCCACTGCATGTCTCCCAGATTGGCACACTGTTCCGCATTCATAACTTGAATGCGGAACTTTGACCGACAAGAGTGTAATATGCACTTGTCGGTCACAATGTGTCATTCCGGGAGACATTGCCACTGCATGTCTCCCAGAATGAGACAATTTGTTGCAATCAGAATGTGATTGCAAAAGTTTGACCGACAAGAGTGTAATATGCACTCTTGTTTTAATAAATTTTAAATACTATATAAGTATCTTTACATACAATCTTTACATATATATTTTTTCCTAATTAATATTTATTTCATATTTTTTGTGCTTTATCTAACTTATAGCATGTACTGAACTATTTTACAGACTCTACTGAGCTATCTCAACATATAAACCAGTGAAAAAAAACACATATATACTCACTTCATATTCTGATCTCATGCCATATTATCGCAAAAACTATATTTATACACCACACCTCATAAAACATCATTTTAGCCCTATCCAAGCGTTCAAAACCTATTTTTCCCGCGTAATCTGATTCTTCAGGATCCGCTGATTCGATTTCTGCCGTCAGATCGCGAAAATATGCATTACATAACAAGATATACACAAATTACTAAACTTAATATTTATGAGGTGTGGTGTATAAATATAGTTTTTGCGATAATATGGCATGAGATCAGAATATGAAGTGAGTATATATGTGTTTTTTTTCACTGGTTTATATGTTGAGATAGCTCAGTAGAGTCTGTAAAATAGTTCAGTACATGCTATAAGTTAGATAAAGCACAAAAAATATGAAATAAATATTAATTAGGAAAAAATATAATGTAAAGATTGTATGTAAAGATACTTATATAGTATTTAAAATTTATTAAAACAAGAGTGCATATTACACTCTTGTCGGTCAAACTTTTGCAATCACATTCTGATTGCAACAAATTGTCTCATTCTGGGAGACATGCAGTGGCAATATCTCCCGGAATGACACATTGTGACCGACAAGAGTGCATATTACACTCTTGTCGGTCAAAATACCGCTATCCGAACCCAATTCCGGACCAGTACCCATTTTGCGATTAATCGAGATATAAAAATTGCTCACATTTGCTCACATTTTGGCACTTTTTTGTACGTTTGTCAAAAATTGTGAGGAAGATCTCACAAAAATAGTCAAAATGTGAGCAAATTTTGAGAAGTGCTCACATTTTGACATACGATTATTTTCATACGTTTTTTTGATGAATTCTAATAAAACTTCATTACCACTTTCAGAACGAAGCGTAACTTTTCAGCACGTAACGCTCTATCATGTGTAGTGACATATTATTCAAAAAAACTCAGATTGCTTATCTTATAATAACAATTTCATTAGAAAAAATGCACGATTTCACGCTAAAACTTTGAAGCAATTCTTAAATTCGGATAAAAAATCGATATGTATTACACTTTAAACTTCAAAAAATGGTTCAAAATTTAGACTTAGTTTATCTTAACAATATAGCATTTTAAGCCGAACAAGTAGGAGTAATAGAAATAGCTCTTGAAAATAATTACAATTAGTAATATGTAAGTCAAAGTTCGAGTATTCTAATAAATAAACGTTCCGGATTTTCTTTACTACAAGAATCAATACTTAATATATAGAAGCAACAGTAAAAACTTATTAGAGATTCAAAAAGAAAGTTGACTAAAGAGAATCTTTTTATATAAGTAATTTTATTTTTTTGAAATACGAGATCGAATAAACATGTATTTTATTTTATTACTATAATAATACGTTTTTACATAGTAAGAAAGTTTAGAGACTGAAATGAAATTAAAAATTGAGAAAAAAATAAAGCTTTTCTATAAAAATTCATATTAATATATAGTATAATGATATTACAATTTATTGATAGTTGTGTTAGAAAAAAGGTACATTCACTATTTTTGACAAAATTTTAAATTTTCATGGGGTTGTAAATCTTATAATAACTAGATGAATAAGGAATAAATCCCAGTATGATGTGCATCATTATATTAAACACTATATGTAAGGCTGGTGATTCTATTAACACTTATGAAGATCTATAATATTTGAGCAGATAAATTTGATAATTTCCAAAACTCTTATATTTCAAAATTAAAGTGTGCGAATGCATTTAAATGAGAGCAAAAAGAGATTGATGCTGTTAAAACTATGTGTTAATTTGCAATTATTTCGCATCACAAGAACTACCCAGTAAATTCGGCTATCTTTCTTTGCAATTATTCTCCATTATACATATAATATAATGGTTAGGGTTTGAAGAAAAGTTACTAGAGAATTATTGACTTTTGAAATAATGCAGAATTTTACTTGAAGAAATCATTAATTTATGAGTTCCAAATTGCTAAGCATGACGAAGGATCATTAAATTTGCTACAATTAAATACACTTATTGCAGAATTAAGATTTTTGAAATTAAAAGTTTGAAATATTGCCTTTTTGAATAAAAATTTAAATTTTATTATATAATCATGATAATATCTTATAGAAATTAAAAGAAAATATTTTAAACCATTCAAATATTTTGAATGTCTTATCAATTTAAAATATTAAAAGATAGCTTGATTTTATCATCATTAGTTGTTATCAAAGTTTTCTTCTTTTGATGAACAACAGTAAATGATTTGTTAATTACTTGTCTTCCTTTTTCGCAGCAAAATCGAAAGTTATGATGATAATCTTGCTCTCAATTTTGAAACTCTCTGATTTACAAGTAAGCATTCCCTTGGAAAAGCAGTCCTATTCTGTTTTCAAGATATTTTAAAGCCTCCATTTCATACAATGCGCAGATCTGTTCGAAATTGCAAGAACTCTCAAGAAAAATGCAGCAGCAAAGAAGATTCCATAGTTTCTAGCATCAAAAATTTACAACCTTAATACAACAGTTAAAGAGAAGCTCGAAAAGAAAATATTTAACCATAA